CTAACATCCAACAGATCCGACCTTATTCACGGGCACTATCCGAAGCAATCTTGATCCTTTCTCAATCTTTACTGATGAGGAGATCTACACTGCACTACGCGAAGTCAACCTTATCTCAACGCTATCACGTCCGGCATCTGGCACTGTGACACCTACCGGAGCCGCCTCCCCACCCCGTGCCGTTCAAATCCCTGTCCCTACATCAGGCGCCGTGACTGCAGATGTTAATGCCAGCTACTCAGCCGCTACTACCAATCCTGGTTCCATTCTCGCAAATCGCGACTGGGAGCGTGGCGAGACACAAGAAGACACCGTCTTGGTGATGCCCGACGGGCGTCCCGCAGACCAGGACGATGTTGCGGCACAAGCTGCGATGGAGGCCGAGAACAAGAACCCTTTCAAGAACCTGAACTCCCCAGTATCAGAGTCCGGTTCTAACCTGTCCCAAGGTCAAAGGCAACTGCTCTGTCTTGCTCGAGCGCTACTCAAGGCACCCAAGGTGCTGCTGATGGACGAAGCCACGGCTTCCATCGATTACGCAACCGATGCAAAGATTCAGGAGACTATCCGTCAGATCAAGAACACTACTATCACTATCGCTCATCGTCTTCAAACGATCATCGACTACGACAAGGTCCTTGTTTTGGATAAGGGTGAGGTCATCGAATATGGTCATCCGTACGATCTTGTTCGGAAACAAGACGGTTCTTTCCGGTCCATGTGCGAAACGAGCGGAGAGTTAGAGACCTTGACCAGTACCGCGAAGACGGCTTACGAAGCGAAGCCTACTACGGCTTCCGAATAGAGATCCCTGCTTCGAACGTACGATCGCGCACTTATTTTCCTTGTACATAGGGCTCAGAGGATGAACAGGGTGGGTGGGTGAGAGTGATGAAATTTAGACGGGGTTTGGAAAGAAAAAAGTAAGCGATCAAGACCCGCTTCTCATCAGGGCGCAAGCATATTTCCTTTTTGTTTTATTGTCTCGGCGTATACCAGAGCCTATGGGTGGTTGCCTGCTCTTAGTGTACACATAGTTAAGTCTAATCGGCTTCTTTTGCGCCGCATAATTGACACGTTGACGTACCAAAGATCCGTAAGTCGTGATTTGCCTAAACTTGCGCAGATATGATGAGTTCCAGTCAGCAGTGCTCGTCAGCAAGTGCATGCCGGCGCTCGGAGATGTTGTATCGGATCTTGGCGGATGCTTGAAGCTGACCGAATGCATAATCCATTGGTGACCACCGATCACTAATTCAAGCCAGGGGCTGGGAAGTCCGGTCTGCCCAGCTAACCTACCATAATCCAACACCTGGTTCCGATCGGTCAACGAAAAGCGATATATACTTCGCTGGCTGCGTGGCTGCCTCAAATGTACCAATCACGTGGCCGGAAGTAAGCTTCTTCCGGATCTTACATGCCTTTTCCGGCGTTTCCTCACACTTACCTTATCGAACATTCTATGAAATCATGACACCCATTCATTGATATCTAATGGCTTTTGCTGACAATTAGAAGGGCGTTTTTGTACGAGTGATTCATGTGAAATTGCTGGGAGCAAGGGGACCATCCCTTGCAGGAGCCCTTGGCGATCAGGCTGGAAGTAGCACCTGTCAATATAATAGTATCGGTGCGCCTAGAAATTCGAATAGATCTCCTGATAATCATTATTTCTGCTGGAACTTCACCCGCTAGCATTCAGACAGTATGGAGACCCTGAGGGAAATAGTGCGCGATGCACCGTTTGGTCAGCTCGTTCGTTACGCAACACGTAACCGCGTCTTCAAGTATCCAGAAGAGTTACCTGGCTTTGAAATTCCTGCTGCCTACACTGAAAGAAACACTGGAGCGTCGGGCTCGACGACTCAAGCGCACTCCAACAACTCCGCAACCGCCATCAGCCAGCCAAACCCGGACCAGACCACTGACGCTCCCCTTCCAGACGACTTAGAGAAGCTCCCCTCTCGAACAGAAGATATCGAGAAAGCCCATTCGCGTAACTCAACCTCAACAGACCGCGAAGAACTTGGTGTCCCAGCAGCGACAATCGCTTCGCATACCCTCCCCTTCAGCCCTGAACGCCTTGAAGCCGAACGTCTCGAAGCCACTCTCTCACTCCATGGCACACGCTCAGCACCTCATGCTATCGCTCCTACAAAGACAGCTGACGGTCTCATACTAGCAGAATGGTACACCACTACCGATCCAGCCAACCCTCACAACTGGTCTCGGGGGAAGAAGGCTTGGACGGCATTTCTGATCTGTCTGTATACGTTTATCGTGTATGCAGGGAGTTCAATTTATGTTAGCAGTCAGATGTTGGTTATGAAGAGGTTTGGAGTGGGTGCTTTCAAGGCGAGTCTGGGGTTGGCGCTGTATGTTTTGGGTAAGCCCTTGCGTGTTCTTATGTGTTGATATTATTTTGGGGTATGATTAGGCTGACAAAGTATCTCCAGGTTACGGAATTGGACCGTTGTTGTTTGCGCCGCTAAGTGAAGGTAAGAGCATATCCACACGTCTTCACCTATTCCTCTCCAGATAGGTCACTACCATCACGAAGATGAAGTTTGACTGACAGCTCTCCTAGTTCCGCAGCTCGGCAGGAACATACCTTACATCACTACCTTCGCTCTCTTCACCATCCTGACTCTACCTGCGGCACTAGTGGACAACCTCGGCGGTCTCCTCGTCCTCCGTTTCTTGCTAGGTTTCTTTGGAAGTCCATGTTTAGCGAACGGCGGAGCAAGTATGCAGGATCTATATGCTCTGTTGCAGTTACCATATGGCCTTGCTTTCTGGACGGCAGCCGCATTCGCTGGACCAGCACTTGGACCTCTTCTGTCCGGGTTTTCTGTGTATGCCGAGAACTGGCGCTGGTATGTCTCATTCCTTCAACAATTCGTGATATGCATTGCGTGTTGTCTCATGCTGATCACACATCGTAGGTCACAGTGGGAACTCCTATGGATGGCCGCCCCAGTATTCCTCCTATTCTTCTTCTTCTTGCCGGAAACACAACCTACTACCATCTTGCTGCATCGCTCTGCTCGCCTCCGTGCACTAACAGGCAACCCAAACATCCACACGCAGATAGAGATCGATCGCAAAGGCATCAAGTTCTCCGCCACACTCGCAGATGCTATCATCAAGCCCTTGGAGATTTGCGTAAAAGACCCTGCTCTCTTCTTCATCAACGTCTACTCCGCTCTAACCTATGGTATCTACTACTCCTTCTTCGAAGTCTTCCCCTTGGTGTATCTTGAGATATATGGATTCAATGTTGGCGAGATGACGATAGTCTTCTTAGTGATCATCGTGGGGTGTTTCATCTCGATCACGATATACTTTTCTTACCTGAAATTCTATCTCACACCGGATATCTTGAAGAGGGGCTTGAGACCACAAGAACACAGACTCGTGCCAGCGATATTCGCAAGTTTTGGCGTGCCGGTTGGACTGTTCCTTTTTGGTGAGTTCCTGACCGCAGTTTCGAGGAGCTAAAGTGAACGTTAATGCTGATACATGTAGGCTGGACGGCTCGCCACTCCATACACTGGATCGCTACAGCCATCGGTATCACGATATACTCGACCAGCGTCTTCATCATTTTCCAGGCTGTCTTTTGTAAGTTGTTGTTGGACTTCCTGTTACCTGTTCACTTTACTGACCCCTACATAGCGTATGTCCCCATGTCCTACCCAACATACGCCGCGTCCCTCTTTGCAGGCAATGACTTTTGTCGCTCGGGCTTCGCTTTCGGTTCCGTGCTTTTCTCCCGCCCCATGTACATCAACTTAGGGATAGGAAAGGGTATCAGTCTTCTGGGTGGGTTGAGTGTGATGGGTATCGTAAGTTTGAACTACCTACAGAACCTCGCATTGAGCTAATCCGGACTAGATCGGTATGTATCTGATTTGGGTGTACGGCGCAAGGCTGAGAGCAAGGTCAAAGTTTGCTGTCTGAGATACGACAGGCTACGACCGGAGGAACACGAGCAACAATAGTGGTGTCGTAGGGAAGACGAGATAGACTGTTCCATGCGTCATCCATCATTCTTGGAAAGGAGTGTTAGGTCTAGGCCGTTTTGGGACTAGACCCCCAGCCCCTACGGTGCGTGAATCCATAACGCGCATGTGTTTTCTAATATCATGCTCGCCATTCAACGCTATCGAGTTTGATTCGCGCTCTACAACTTGTAAAGTACTTCAACTAGCTTCTGTGCATGGTCAAAAGGGCCGCCCGCTGGCGCGTCTTCAATAAAGCGTAGCCTTTCTTGTTCATGGCTCGGCAATCTTTAACCCCCGGTGCCCCCGTAACTATGACCCACGCGCTCGACGGCTAACGCCCTCGGCATGGCATGCATGGAGGCATATGCAGCAGTGAGTGTCAATGGTACGTTCATCAACGCTCTTAGCAAGGATTAGAGCTGTTTCTGACGCGAAGTAAGAACCTTTCGATGTGAACACCAAGAATATAAGCTGCCACGACGCGTTCCACCCTCGGACCCTCCGCACTAAAGCTCTCGCCCACGCCAGGCACCGTTCCCGGCCTTCCGCTCTCATCGCAGTAGTTCTGCATCTTTGGCGGAACTTTTGCGGTCGTTGCAGCGCATAATGAGCGACGTGACGCGCCTTGAGCCTCTTCCTTGGAGATGTTGGTGTATTATTGGCACAGCCTGATGTGACACATCTATTAACGCCATAGCGGCCCAACTTTTGGGGGCCAGCCTTGTCCGTCATGTTCGTATCGGTTAACCTTCTCCAACCTACACAGGTATACGATACTTTTTGCTGATGCGCTCTCGCCCTTAGCAGCGTAGCGATAGCATGATCGTACACCACGTGAACGCTTCTCGGGTATTACGCAGTCTACGGCCTATAAAGTAGTCGGAGGACCTCTTGTGGATACGAGGATTCGTGCCGTTTCGGATAACGTGCAGCATGCAGTGACGGGCTGGCAGGAGCTGTATGGTGTGGTAGCCGCCTCATTGTAAGCGCCCAACCCATGATTGCCTCGCATATGCCTGTCGCTATGCTCTGCGCCGCTACTGAGATTGGACGCAATTGCCTTGACGGCAGACCAAATCCGGTGAGTCTGGCTGCATGTCATGTCTCATTGCGGTACACCAACAGTTTTTGCTCCGATACTTCACTTCTTTCCTGTCTCTAGCTGCCTCGGTGCAGTATTTTATTCTCAAAACATTTTTCCATGCTAAATAAGCCATCGCCGCTCTTCAAACTCCGTTACACATTGGTACTGGTATGTTGGGCTCGAAGGCTATAGTCACAGGTGATAAGCGCCCACCACTCATTACATATATGTCTCTTTACTTATGTGGTCTCAGAACATCCGTATGTGACGCATTGCAGAAGATATCTCGCCGAGGCTCAACGTGATCCCTTGTTCAGTGCACCCCATCTGAAAGACTTCTTGGAATACTTGTCAGAACCGTCGTCGCAATGGCCGGTTGACGATAAGCCCTTCACCTGGCCATACCCACGACCGATGATTAATGATCTTCGGCGCTCTTCAGACACCAGGTCAAATAGCTTCGATATACCTGAAAAAGTTACAAGAGATCATGAGAGCCTGGGGTTGCTTTTCCTCAGTGGTTATCCTTCCTCGCGTTGGCTCAAAGATGTTGGAGAGAAGTACAAAGTTGATATGCACTTTTTCCAACAACACTTGGGCTCTATCAGGCCGTCGGTACATGTTGATGTATTCGCTGAGCCATCTTTACCCTCTAGTTCTGGCCACACCCTCAAGCTCAAGATACCGACTATTGGTTATCTCGGAGATACAGGGGATTCGTTCAGAGATATGTCTAGGACCAGAGCGCTGCTCGTAGAGGATCTCAGAAAGCAAATCTTAGACAACGCCCAACGTCACCCTGTTGGACAGCCTATCGTTAGAGATGTGTATCTGCACAATCAGGAGCATTTCACTTTGTTACAAGAGGTGTCTATGTGCTTACTGCGAGATAACAATATGTGGACAGGTACCGCTTCTCTAACCACTGCATGTATTAGGCGCTGACAATGCAAAGTACTTATATGGACTGACGCTGGCTACGAGGACAAAGATCCCGATCTTTCCTTCCTATTCAAGAGAGCGCCCAATATGCTCCACATCGCTCCTAAGCTTTGTCCGACTGTTTTCAATCGACCCATAAGATTCGGCGAATCAGTATACTCTTCCGTTGCCTCATCTGACGTGCGATTCAACGCAACTCAGGTTTTCAATAGTCTTCACAAAGCGTACGGCAAGACTCTAGACCCTCACCTGACGAGCCAAGATCCTTTCTATGCTGTCAGCGAGGTGTACTCGTTTGCTGCTGCGGCCGAGAACCAGTTTTTGAATATGATGAGAGACATTCTCGACAACCGAATCGAGAGCATCGTGAGAGAGAGCCTTCAGAGTAAGAACTCGACACACGATGCTCTTCCCGAACGTGCCAATATACAGTATGATCGTACTATTCTTGACGCCCATTCCGATCGCATTAGCAATGTCGTTGCGTTCCTCAAAGCAGCCGACGACCCGGTGTGGTTTCCAAACGTCGATCACCATGATCGACGCGAAGCCTCTAGAGCACGGACGAGCCTCGTGCACGATTTTCAGCATCTTCATGCTCAAATCATACAGTTGATCCAGCGTTGTGAGAGGGCTATGGAGATGGTTGCACACAATGCCTCTCTATTGGAAGCCAAAAGATCAAATCTACAATCTGAGGGACTGGAGAAGTTGACACGCCTGACGACAATTGTAACCCTGCTCTACGTACCGCTTTCGTTCGTATGCACTTTCTTTGGTATGAACTTCTCAACCTTTGGACAGGGCAAGTTGAGCCTTTGGATCTGGGCTGCGGTCAGTGCTCCGGTGATGTTAATTTCGCTAGTCTTTCTCAGGCGGATGTTGAAAAATGATTCCAAGAAGACGCGGCCTTGAAAGCAACGATACGAATGAATTACAGTATGAGGAACACATTGCGCCCTGGTACTTGTGTCATTTAGCGGGACCAGAACGCCACACTACTATCGAAGTCTGCTTCTTTTGGAGACTTGCTTTTAAGTTTCCCTTTTTTCGCTTCATCCATATGCTTCCAATATAGCTTCTTAGCCTCTTCGTAAATCTTGTCAGCCTGTTCAATGTTGCCCTCACGTCGTGCTAAGATACTTTCAAGATTTTTGGTTCGCGCGCGTTCGGGTCTGTAATAATCTCGAGTCTTGAAGACTTTGAGGGCTTGGCTAATGCAATCGCTTTGTCGCAATTAGTATGTCTGATGTAATCAATGGCTTCAAGTACGTACCGTGCCTGGTTGAAGTCTCCAAGCTCAATATACTTCATCGCGAGCTTGTGGCACACATCCGCTGATCTATGATGGTACTTGCCGATTGTTTTCTCGTAGTGTTCGTATGCTTGTTTATACCATCCAAGTGCCTCTTTCCCGTTGTCGCTTTTATCCTCGCAGTTCTGGCTGTCTTTGACGTTGCCAATAGCGTGAGCGATTCTACCAGGTCTTCTCGAGTTAGCATAGTCTCTCGAATAGGTAGGCGCCACTTGCGCAAAGCTTGTATTTTCTCCAGCGCGAGTCAGCTCCTCATGGTAATTCCAAGCTTGTAGCAGCGTGTGCCAAGCCTCCTCGTATTGCCCATCGGTCCATTGAGCTAACCCTAGATTGGCGGATGCCAGTAGGTAGATCGACTTAGCAGTTTCTGAAGCATCACGAAAACGAGATGCTTGGTCGAGCGCAATCTCAAACAGTTCCTTGGCTCTACAGGTTTGGCCCATCATCATCTCGGCGATACCCATCTCGTTATTGGCCACCATCAGAGCGTCGAAGTCGGCCTCGCTCTGGGGATCTGAATACTTTTCTTCCGTCATTCGTAAAAGGCTTTTGTAGTGTTCGTAGCATGTTTCAGGGTCATTGACCTCAGTAGCTACACAACCAAGGCTAGTGTGAATCTCGAACATCAGGCTCTCGTTGCAATCCAAATACTCCTTACACACGGTGAAGGCAGTAGTCAACAGCTCTTTTGCTTCTTGAGATCTTCCTCGTTCGTGATTGAACCTGTGTCAGTTAATTACGACCTGATCTGTCGAGTAATCACGCGAGAGGGAACGACTAACCATGCTGCACAGTCTAGAAGCCTTACAAAGTCTACACTTGCGATAGTTCTCTGGCTTTCCAGTTCTAGCTGCACATAGTGATATCGCATCTGAACAACATGTGGATACAGGTGTTCGGCTCGTGGCCAATCTTTGCGATCGTAGTGCCAAAGTCTTTCGTTTCGATTCCATCGGGTCAGAAGCAAACCGACAGCAGTATCAAACGCCTCCCGTAGCTGTTCCCTCGTCATCTGAGAACGCGATGCATCCTGAACTACACGATGGACGCTTAATTGAGACTTGACCTGTTCGATAATCCCTTCTTTGGATCCTGTCACGGACCCGATGTCTTCCTCAGAGGCACTGTCATTCGTTAATACTTCATCCTTTTCTTGTTTGCTCCGGTTTTCCGCAGTTCTAAGTAGTGATCGTCTCCAGAGTGCTTGGCGGGCTGCGAAATAATCATTCCAAGTCTTCGGATAATCTCTGGCCTTGATCTTTGCCGCACCTTCGGTCAAAATCTCTTCTTGAATGTGATCGGGGTCAAGAAATGACAAGACATTCATAACCATACGAGGAGCTGCATCAAGCTTGTCAAGCATCCATACTGTAGCTGTAGTATGTGGATACTTGCTGTTGCGTATCTCCTGTCTTTCTCCGTGTAGTTTGTGATGATGAAGTTCTTCATTGTACATTTTCAGCAGATCGTTGAAGCTGGATAGTCCGTCGCTCATCATACCAGCAAACTGTGTGAGGAACAGGGGATAACCTTGAATGCGGCGAGCGAGTTTCCGCGCTGCTTGCTCGCTGTCATGTGTCCGTTTACGATTCGTCAGCTTATGTAGAAACCTCTGTCCTTCTTCTTCAGTGAATGGCTCTAGCGCGATTCTGTAGGTCGATGTTTCATGATCTGCATCGGAATAAGAGGTGAGTTTCCCAACATGCGGCGCTCTGCTTGTCATCAGTATAGATCCTGTCCCTCTTGGAGGCCAGAATCCTTCCATAACCCCGAAATCATCAACATTGTCGAGCACCAGTAGCCACCGAGCTTTAGGCAGTGTCGCTGTAGTTTGGTACCCGTATGTCTTGACAGGATTCTCGAGCCATTGGAGCACCAGATTCTTACTCATCACCCAATCTCTGTCCTCTTCTGGTTTTTGCAAACCTAACCCCAATGCCATTTCGCCAAAGCTACTGGCTAGCTTCCCAGCGGTGTCAGCATTCAGCCAAAAGATGGCGTCGAATTTATTCTGTCGACTTTTAACGAATTTGTACGCGATCGAGGTTTTCCCTGTTTGTATCAGCTGCCGCTATGATGGATTCATCTGCTTGCAAACCTATGCCTCCCATGCCAGAGATAGCTACTGTTCTTAGCTCTGGCATTATATCTTGTCCCTCTTGGACAAGTAAGTGCTCATCAATTTCTCCAAGCACATCCTCTCGACCAAAGAAGTCCCTCACGGTCACAGCATCGTCGAGTAGGTAACAAGGAAGCTTGAGCTCAAAATGAATGAGCGTTTCATCTCTAGGTCGCCGTGACTGGCCATATGAAGGATCAAATGTAGCTTGGGCGTAGTTTGGCCTTCGCTATGATATCAGCACTCATCGCAGTGATACTTAGGAACGCTGCAACTGACAATGATGTTTGCCTTATGCTTGCACCAGTAGATTCGCCATCGAGTACATTGAATGTATCTGCTTTCGGGGCACCTTCTAGTGCAGGAGATTGTACTTTTCGTCGTAAGCTTGGTGAGCGGTGCTCCGTATGCGAATAGGCTTACTTATAGAGCTAGATACATTGAATCTGTCTCGAGCAAGGCGGAGAGAATCATGGCAGAACTCAATGAGAGTAGCTCTGAACTGGTTGCTTTCGTTGAGTGCGCATAACCCGTAATGGTCAGTATCGACGGACTTAACCTCCTCGCCTGTTAGATTAGTACGGGCTAGGTCAGAGTCTGGACCCTAGCGTTTTTGTTAGAAATGGACAGTCCTATCGAGTATTCTAACATACCATAATGTATGTACCATCGCCTGCAGATACTATACTCCACCACTTCTTTTTCTTCTTCTTTGTCCTGCTTTTCCTTCCTTCTCTCGTGGACAAGATGCGGACGGATAAATTCAGGTGTTCAAAATCACGCGACCATTGAGCTAGCCGTTGTAACTTGGATACATCCGCAAGGTCCTCAGGTAGTGATAGCATACGAAGCTCAAGAATGGCGGGTACTTTGGCCCATTCTGACTTGTTGCTATCCCGAAGATGAGGACTTCCGAGAAATACTATACCAGCGAGGGAGTCGAACAAAAGCTTAGTACCTTCCTCTCTTCGACGCGCATGTACAAGTAGCTTATGTCATCAGCAGTGGACCGACAACAATCAATACGCAAACTGACCCGCTTCAAGATGAGTCCACCTAGGCTATGACACAGAAACAGAAGAGGCCGATGCTCTGGCTAGGTGATCATTTAGCATGACGCTTTGCTCGGAAACACATGACTGACATCCCATGTATGAATGAAGTCTTCGGCTTTAGCGAGCAATCGCTCTGCCTGAACATCCAACTGGCTCCATTGCTTGAATGTTGACGATGTCAGCTGGTGTTCAAGTACCGTGATCTGGATATTCGAGGCCTTGTTGTCCTTCCCAGTAAGGTCGTGAACAAGCGATACACCGTGAGCTTTACTCCATTCCTCAACCCGCTCATCGTCTATTCCAGGTATCACTAGAATGCTGGATACATATAAGCGGATGCATTTATGAGTCTAATAATCTTACTGAGCGTCAGGTCGGGAGATGTGCTTCGAGGTGCCCCCTGCTGCGGGCAGGTGACGCAGTAAGCACTCCTCCATCCTCTGTTCTTTTACGATCGAATGTTTAGCGTATTGCGTAGCACGAAATGTGCTCAAACAAAGCGTGTAGCGGCTCTCATGTGAGACGTGCTGGCTATGCGTCCAGTGAAGTACGGGGACCCCACCTAGGCTGAGTTCGCCAAGGACGGCCAGCAGTGTTGCCGCATGTACGTGGGTGCGTTATCACTGTGCCACCTGCTTTGCACCCTGGCGGCATCCTGGCGGCATCTAAGCCTACAACCACGCCACATGCATAGTAAGGCAGACAGGTAAGTTACGGGTGCTCGCACCTAAAGCGGGGTACCTAGGTAATCACGGTCAGCCATATACTGTCTGGCATTCTCTACTCATAGAATCGGATGCGTGCTATCAATGAACGATAACTTGTACTTGCACCGCTCTAATGGCAACAGAAAAGGGACCAGATGTCCCATGGCCGGACCGCGAGGTCGCTACTTGGAAGTCGGGCCGAGAATTTAGCATCGGCGGGAGTCGTTTCGTCACCAGGCCCACCAATCACGTAATCTTCCCCTCCTCAACCACCCCATGGTATCGTTACTGACCACAGACGCGAATCGATGTACAGTCGGCCAGATGGTTCACAAAAGCACTGATTACTGTTATCAAGATCTCCTCCGGCGACGTCATTGATGCAGAGTATCTCGGGTCGCGCATACGGCAATACACTGATGATTGCGATGTTTTCAGACTGGAGTTTTTGCATTGCATACAGTTTTCGGGTGCATGCAGAGAAGAAATCGAGTTGAAACAAGATGCAGAGGTACAACTTCAGAAGTGGGGGAATTCATGGGTGAAGTTCACGCCTAGGAATAAGACAAATGATGGACCTCCGCCAGGACCGTATGTCGCCTTGCATGAGCATATGCAGCAAGTTTGGCGAGTGTACGACGACGACGCGAAAGCTTTTCTAGTCTCCACTTGGCCTACTGAGAAAGATGCAGAGTAAGTGATAATAACTACATACGCCAGGGATTTTCTCTTAAAGTTCCCTAGACGATACGAGAGCAGTGGTCTCGCAGGAGAAGCTTTCACTTCACTAGGAGTAGCCGTCCCTTCGCGACTCTACTTCACCGAATCGGAAGAGCGGCCACTCGATGGCGTTCGAATAGCCATCAAAGATATGTACCATCTCGATGGGATTCGGACGTCAGTCTGTAACCGAGCATACCATGACCTATACCCGCCGCAGACCGAGACTGCTGCGTGTGTGCGTATTTTGATATCATTGGGAGCAATAATAGTCGGAAAGACTCACCTGAGCTCTTTTGCGTGGAGAGAAGAGCCTACGGAGTGTGTTGAGTATCCAGCGCCTTTCAACCCACGGGGTGACGGGTACCAATCCCCGGCAGGAAGCAGTAGCGGTAGTGGAGCAGCCATTGCATCTTATGAGTGGCTTGACTTTACACTGGGCAGTGACAGTAGGTCGCCCTCTCTCGTATCGATCTCTGCTAATGGATGACAAGCGACTGGAAGTGGAAGACGACCCGCTCTTTGGAATGGATGTTTCGCTCTGAGACCTTCTGATACCGCGTTGTCTTCCAAAGGTATGGTCTTGACATGTCCTCAATTCGATTCACCTTCACTCTTTGGTCGTGACATCCATACCTTCAACAAATTCGTTCGAACTTGGTACGGAGACTGCGTCGACAGCCAGGATAGGTCTGACCGACCTTGGAGAATCGTCTATCCAGTAGACTATCTGCCAGTAGGGAATAATGAACAAGCGCGTGTCTTCGACGAATTTGTCAGTGACCTGGCGGCGTATCTCAAAGTTGAACCTGAGATACTCTCTATTGCAGAGACATGGAGGAAAACTCCACCTGTCGAAGAGAGTGACATCCTGAAATTCATGGAGAATGTAAGTGCAAACGACTAGGTCAGACTCAAGAAGCTAACGGAAGATTTAGACGCAGGTACACGGATTCTTCTACGAGCTCTATCACCACTTCGATGAGTTTCGAGAAGACTATAGGAGCAAGTATAGCCGAGAGCCATTTCTTTCCATGCCTCTGAAATGGGTGTGGTAAGTATCTCAAATCCCTCAAATCTCGTACCATGCTGATGCTAGGAGGAATTTGGGACGTCTAATCGACGAGTCGCAGAAGAATCGCGCATTCGAGCGTTACAGCGTGTACAAAGATTGGTTTCTTAAACATATTCTTCGATCAAAGGAGACGCGGACCATAGTGGTATTGCCCATTGAGGAGCTCGAACCGCGCTACAGGGATGTACCACCCGTGCAGCCTATTGAAGCTCCGAAAGGAATCAATGTCTTGTATTTGAGTCCCATATTAGGTGCGCCAGAGATTGTAGTACCAGGTAAGCGCAACGTTCACAGTCGAGGGCAAACATTGATATTCCCAGCCGGCCAAATATCATTCCGATCGCGTATCACCGAACATGAAGAATATCTGCCCGTGGCGGTATCTTTGCTCGGCGCTCCGGAAACAGACTTGGACTTGACCGAGATGACTGAGGATTTCCTCAAGCATGCGGGTAGATCTACAAGAGTCTTGACCGGAAAGACCATGTTTGGTGATGACACCAAATGACTGCGTCCGGAATATGATATGCAGAAGCAGGGTTCATCACATTGGCCTGAACAATGGTTTTGTGTCGTACTAAATGAAACAAATGGGTCATCATCGGTGATTGTAAAAGTGCCTCGCCAAGTAGATCTTCGTCGGAGTTCTGATCGGCGCTTCATGTGACCCAAACTGAAACTTGATTGGTACATGGATTGCTGCAACATATGTACGACGCGCGCGATAAGCGGGCTGTCCGGCAAGATGCGCCTGAAGGATCAAGTTGCCACACCACGAGTGACCCGGCACAGTGTAGTCATCCAATAGGTTGAGAAGCCACTGAAGCCGCTGTAATATACTCACATGCATGCAGATCTGGGCAGATATGGTTGTTGTTGTGGCAGGGAATCGGCTTCGTAGCGCACGAATATCAGCAGTGCGATACATGAGTTATTTAATGTACATGGCGTATTGGCCCTATCTACCTAGCGTTAAGACACTAGCGAGGTCCTGAGTCTGCCTCGTCACCACAATATCGCTATTGGTATCTAAACCGGCTCTAGAATTCAATATAGAGGCATGTAAGGATAAATGGTACTAGTACCGGGTGTTTTTCCAAACGCGAAGCAAAACTGTCGTCGTCGCGCGTTGAAGGTGCATAAGAGAACTGGCTTGGAGAGCTTCTTAGAGCGGATAAGTGCGCGATCCGGATCTGCTTGGGAGATAGAGAATGCGTGCGAATTATAATAAAAGCCCTGTGCTTTAATCGTAGAAGGAGTACCATAATCACAGCCCGATGGTCTGAGAGTATCTTGTCCGTATTGACTGTATTCCAGCGTTCTACGTAAAATTTTCATACGTACTTTTTCGCCGAGTAATCCTCTCACCACCACGGCATACCGCTCGTGCCCTTCGGAAAGGTTTATCTGGCCAACGCCAATGCCAACGCTCTCTAACCATCAGAAGGGCACGTAGAAACAGCATAAAAAGCATAGCCGTAGTGATGAAGGAAAGAAAGGTCCGCTCGTAAGGCAGTACAGACTGAGGAATGGCAAAGAGACTTGATACGATGGCAATAGGAGAGATGATCGTTATCGCAACCTCCCCAGTTTGACTACTTTGTTGGGTTCGAGCAAGGTCCAGATCCTTCTGGAGTTTCTGGCAGCCTTCTTTGATTCTCTGCAAATCCCTCCAGAGACGTTCCATGTCGCCAAAAGTCCGGTTAAGCGACACCAATAGCTTGATGATATGTGCTCTTGTGTCAGGAGGAAAATCCTGGTGAGTATCGAGGAAGTATTCTATGTCTCCTCTTTCCGACAAGAAACATCCCCAGCTACCTATCGCATCTGAGAAATTGCAGTCCAAATGGTCCATCAAGAGCCGCATATGTTCGTTCCAAATGCAGACATCGTTCTTGTTTCTCTTGACTGTGTAGGAAGACTTTTGACGCATGAAATATTCCTCAATGGTTACTACTAGCTGCTCGGCTTCTTCCAACATGTGATTGGCCCTGATTTGGCATATGTTCAGAAAGTATGCGCGAGGATCCCAGAGTGGCTGGTCCACATCAAGCTGACCCATCGAGATTTTATCGTATCGTAGCCCCGAAGGAAAATCTTGATCGCCAGGATCGAAATTGAAGTTCTTGGTTTCCAGGGCGAAGGCGGTCCAATGCGAGTTGTCGGTTCCGCAGATGGTGAGTGAGAAGTGAGCTAAATGCATACTTATAGTCTCTTTTCCAGCATCTTCGATTAGAAAAGATAGATCCATCCATTCCGAGTATTTGTCTTCCCCTTCGCGTCTACTCAGGTCTTCTGGAGGCGTTTCTCTCAGTAAGAAGCATGAAAGATGAAGGTTGAGTTGGAAGACTCGATACCCACTGGTTGAAATGCTAACACCCAATGATATTCTTCGGGCAATGAAGCGCTCCAGCAACTCTACTACTGCTCTTTGTTGGTACTTGCGTGCAGTCACGGTCAAGACAAGAATGTAGCAAGGATCAGGGTCGGCGATGTAGATCAGTCTACGGTCGGCATCTTCTAGTACGCCGTGGTCGAAGCACTTCTCACGTAAATGATGATAGAGTTCTCTTGGTTTCAGCGGCTCTCCGTACGTTCTAGGTAAATGAGTAACCGACATGCGTTGGTGAGGTGCACCAGCCGACTCATCCATTCTGCTTTCGGCAACTGCATCAGAATCCAGTGCGACGATTGATTCTGGTCCCATCAGACTGGGGTTGGTGTAGTCGGAGTCGTACAGGACAATTTTTGTATCGCATGGTGACACATTCTGAGCGGGATCGCAGACTGGCGGTCTTGAACGGTCGTCCAACCATGCTGTACTTTTGCATGATGCGAGCATATGTTGTCGGCTAACACCATGACAGAATCGCAAGACAGCTTGGGTTGAGGGGGAGACGAATTCCTGCTTGTAGGTCATGAAAATACGAACTCCTTCGTTGAACGGATCATCCGCGTCCAGTAGGTATTCGACATATGGGTAGTCGTCCATGGGATTACGCAATGTGGCTTTCTGCAGGTCATAGTGGTTCCAAGTACGGATGAGGTAACGTTTATCTTCGGACTTATAAGACGGCGGTCGAGAGCTGGGCTCGGTTTGTACACCGGAATTGTCTGCTTCGCCTGGTTTGGAGTAGGTCTCTGGACGGTCTTCAACCTCTTCTTTCAACGGAAGAGCTTGTAGGGCGAGGAAAACCAGATGAGCTCCCAAATGTTCCAAGATACGCTTGGAGACTAATCTGTTTTTCTGCGCTCGGCTCATATCAGACGAGTCTCTCATCTCAGCTTCGTTTGGTACGTAAGAGCAAAGAGGGCATTGCGGAAAAATCATGGTTGTCGTGACTCTTCTCTGATTCGCTAACAAGGGAAGTTGCGAATCAGTAAAAGACTTCGCATGTTGGTTCCGCATATGTTCGAAGTATTCGTCTTCACTTATGAACAATGTGGCTGAATGTGCTTTTGACGTGCATCGCCAGCGGCTTCTATGACCTTCGAGATGAGCCATCCAAGCAGCGTTGTCCTTGAACAGCGCTGCGCCATCTGGGCACCCTTGGAAAAGACATGTGTATGGTTCAAGGTCCCCTAAAACATGTCTCCTGTAGAATGGTCAGCTACTAACTTCTTTGTAGTTTTTCCAGTTGGAGGCAAGAGGAAGGATAAGTTCGCAAAGATAGCGCAATCAAGTCCTTGACTACATACCTCCAGTGGAAGTCCTCTGATTCCTTGACGGGCAGCTTCTTGCAGCAATATGGACACTCAAACTCCTGACAACCAGCGATAGTCTTGGGTGGGCACGGCAACTCTACTGCTGTACTCGAGGAAGGTTTGGCAATAAAAGTAGTAGATTGGTCAGACTCCGTTTCAGCGTGCCGATATAGGATACGCCTGCGACGAAATACGATGTCGTCCGATAGTTTGGCACGTAGGAACTCAGGTGCATCTGGAAAGCAGCAATCCACCATGTGCCGGGCAGACCCCACAGATATCCCGCTGGTTCCGATGTTTTCCTGGTGTCTCAGGGTGAGTCGTACGGTATCCCGATTTTGGTTCTCGAAATAATGCGTCATCTCGTTCCGACAGGCTGAGTTATTCTCTTCCTTAGCTAACCATGGGGTTTCGTCTTCAGAAGATGATTTCGAGATCTGGCAAATCATAAATGAAAGTCGGTACAGTCGATCAATAGCTTTCTCTATGTTTGACAGACTGCTTTGGATGAGCAGGTTCTCGGCAGCATCTTCAGATGCTACCCCGTCCTGTACTGAATTTGTCTCTGTTCCTTGAAAAGACGAAGACACAATAGATGAAGCCGAATCATCTGAGTGCAGATCTGCAAGGTTCTCATCCTCTTTGGCAAGATCGTCAACGCGACGAGAAACCTCGGATGTTGTGTTTGATCTCAAGCTTATGGTAGCTAGATATGGATAGTCAGTCAACGAGATATATTCTAGCTTCCCAGTAGCGCCGAGTAGTGCTCTTTGTCCCTCACACTTGGCTACAGTAGATCTTGTTTAGAGATGAGATGTTAAGGAAGATGACACTTGCCTCTGTGTACAGCATCTGCTAAGGAGACAAAGAAATTTCCTATAGCTTTCTGCGCTATCTGATTGTTGTAAAGCCGGCAATCGAGTGAGTCTTGACCGTCTGCAAAGACGCCAATATCGTTCACCCATATCCTGAATCTTGCGTTCTGCTCCTCGATCATACTAGTACCGTAGTCATCATCTAGGACATTGCTGATGTGGCCTAGCTCTTTACTGACACCGATTAGCACACTGAATTGTTCGAGACATCTTTGAGCACCTGTACGAAGCTCGAAAGGCATGCTTGACGACAGAATGGTGGTTTTGATACACTATGACACAGTAACGAGCAATGAAGAGGAAAAGCGACAGCGAAAAACGACCGGTGAGGAAGCTACATGAGATCTCGATGTGGCAGCCAGTAGTTCTATGCACCGAAATCATTCTTGGTTGACGGTGTGTTGTACAGAGATAGTATTGGTGCTCTGGAAACGCATATGGGCGGGGTAGGACGTTCGTCAGCCTGATGACGCCATCTTCTGTCACGGTCCGCCGGATGCGTCGTGGGTTGGGCTGCCACTGATTAGGTTTCGTTCAGACCATAATTTCGCACTCAGTTGAAGAAGCTTGGAGTCTATCTATTGCAATACAATGGCTGGTGTTGAGCTTGCTCTAGCCATTGTCCCACTCGTTATCGTGCTGATAGAGCATCACCAAACCGTATTTTGCAAGAGCAGAGCCTTGACTTCATCCAGAATCAGCAATGAGCAGCAACTCGAATTCTATCAAGATCTGCATGCGGAGCTGTCTCTACTCTACATGACTTTGAACAGAGTAGAGATCGTTTCCAGCAGAACGGAGCTCAACAGAACGCAGCCAGCAAGCTCCCCAGCCCAATCAATCCAATCGAGGCTTGGTAGTAGTGCAGACAATTTTCAGCAAATTCTGGATCGTGTTTTAAAGAGCATAGATGATCTGGTACGTGAAGATTCAAGCGCGCTGACACAAGCTGATACCGTAAGTGCTCTACTACAAACGCTCCTAGTCCAGAACCGCACTCGCTGATCTTCTCAGGAACACGATCGTTCTATGCTACAAAAACTCCGTCGTTTTGAACAGGCCATCAGAAACGATGAAGCATCGAATTCGGTCCGTGCGAGATTTCGGTTCGCCCGAAATGAGAAGACTCGCAATGTAGCGATGAAACGCATACATAATGGAGTTAGAAATCTGGAGCGTCTACTGAACTCTTCGATGGAAATCTTTAACTATCGAGTTTGCCCGTCTCACCAAGAATTCCCAGCCAACAGAACAAGGAGACTTCCAGAAGCACTTTTTAAGAAGATGGCGAGCAAGTGGCCATGCTCTTGCAATGTACTGCATTCAGCGAGACTATGCTTATGGAACTGTTGCTATGTAAGCGACAATAGTGATGATACAAATTGCCCTGTCGACATCATCATATCCACGCCTAGTAACGAACGAGTTCCTTCCCAATGGCAGGAAAGCACAATTCTTATTGCTGGAAAGTGAGTTTGCAAAACAATACCTAGTGTGTTATCAAGTCTCACTAAAACTTTGTCAGGCAAGGGAATCAAGTGAACGAAAACGATCATGTTGAACTCAATGTTCAATCTGCGGGTGATCAAGTACCCTGCACTTTCTCCTCAGCGCCGCCGGGTCGTAACATCGACTCTCAGTCATTGTGTGACTTGCTACAAAGAGCAGCAGGTTCTAACACATGCCTTCAAATCTTGTTTAAGAATGGAATACTTTGGCAACAAAGATCTAAGCAATCACGCTTACAGAATTGCCATCAGTCGGATGCGTCACTAAAGAGTCTGCTCGGAAGTGTTCAACGCTGGCAGCGCTACAATCTGCGTGACAGATTGATATTGTCCGTAATCTTAGCACATGCAGTCATGCATTGCTCTGGAGGACCATGGCTGCACGCAGATTTGAACAAAGAGCATATATTTTTCTTCCGGAATAAGGGTGGTCCGAATCCAGACATTAGCCGACCATTCCTTGCAATAGACTTTTTACAGCAACAGACAGTGGTGGATGAAGAGGACGATTTGTTCGCGATCCATTCAAATCCTGCTCTCCTGTCTCTGGGTATTTTGCTACTTGAGATCAACAAGAAGATCTTGATCGAAGACCATTGGTTTACAGAAGATCTAGCTGATGGTGTGGCACAAATCGGGAGCACAAACTTGGTGACAGCACTTCGCATACTGGAGGATATGGATGGTGACATGACTGTTGGATCACAGAGGGCTGTGAAGGCTTGTCTCGAGTGGGATCAAGCCAACTACGGAAGGGAGGATGAGGATTTTGCGACACGGATGTATGAGCTCGTTGTGAGACCGCTTGAAGATGCGCTACGACATGGCTTCGAAATCACACCGGAACAGCTAGGATTGGGCGAATGCCATATCCATGGGGTGTGAAAGGACATAGACACTCGTTTTCATTATGTATATTTATCGGATGGACTCCGAGCTCACTACACATACCGTGTTCATCAGCTCTCCAGATCATAAAGTAGACATCCTCCAGTCCTGAAGTTGTACACAAAAGCCTTTCCCACAGGTCCTTCCCCGTTCGCTCCCCCTTCGCCTTTACTTTCTACCCACCTCGCCCTGTAGCCTAGCAGTAGGTCATGCAGCTCTTGCAGGTACTTCCTCTCAGCAAGCGGCATCTTCTGGATGAAGTAACGCCATGAGTCCGGGTCGCTGAGGCGTGTTTCCTTGAGAAGGTTCATCACCTCTTCCTTCGATTCGATGGCGGCGATGGGTGCAGACTGGAAGGCGGAGAGCAGATCTGTGGAGCGCGATTGCGCAGCCTCGACAATAGACCATTTGTTGCTCTTCTTCGATCGGTGCTGAGCTATGAGGACATCAACGTTCGCTTTTGGCGCACTGGTGGTGTTGTTTGAGCTTGGCGGGGCGGCTTTGATGAGGCGAGCTGCACTCCCTTCGCGCTCTTCACGGTCTCGGAGTTCGTTTCGGAGATAGTTCAGAAGATCTGGACTGCGCAGATCTGTGTCTTCCTTCTTTGCGATGGACTTGACTTTTAACTCAGGCTTATCGGGCGCAACGCCGTGCTTGATTACGATGACCCAGCTGTGCCTATCGTCGCGATAGTGACGTAGGATGTCTTCAATAGAGTGCGCATCGACAGCGAGTTCGGCGGTGTAACCATGGGCGATGAGGTCTGCTACCATCTTGATGCCCGTAGAGCGGAGAACATTGGGGTCGAAACTAGCGACGAGACAATCGCAGCGTCGTGGCATCCATGATATAGATGGGGTGTCTTCTTCGGCATGTTTCCGTAGAAACGTCGACTTCTCAGGTTTCTTAATGTATCGACTCATGGAATTGACTAGCCGATCCCATCCTAGATTCACGCCCACGGCATGAGACGCAGCTGCTGGGTGTGCGTGACTGGAGGCTTTCGGGCGATATTCCTCGATCAGTTTGTCGTACCTTCCGCCTGCAGCAAGCACCTCTTTCTGCTTCGTATCGAAAAGACATTGGAAGAGAATGCCATCAGAGTAGAACTTCTCGTTGAAGCTGCTCAGCACGCTGATGTAGATTTTGCGCTTCACACTCCACAGCTTCGTGTAATTGATAACAGAACTCAGATGTGCAAAGATGACGTGCGTTCGTTCAAGGTACTTGGTGCCCTCGAATAATCGTCGCAGCTTCGCGAATGCCTTTTCCGGTGTGTCGCGCCAATCGAAACGCGCCAGGTCGTCTAACGAGGTCGATGGGATGCCAATGTCTGACGATCGTAATTCGTTGCGAATCAACTGCCAATTGTTCTTCCCAATATTCAGTTTACTGAGGGCCGCCTTGACCGCTGCGCGCTTTGGGACGCTGATCCTACAGAAATCCATGATCATTTCTAACAGATCGGCGTGATTCAAGTGGAAACACATCTGCGTCGACCGGAACGAAGGAAACTCATCAATGATCTCGTCAACAACCTTGAGAACCTCTGCTTCCTTCAAGGTAAGGTCGAGCGTGTCATAAGACAAGATATCGAAATCCGCCTCGCCGTTACTACGTGGAGCACTTCCGGTGTAGTTATCACGGTAGACGTGACCGATCGTGAATGTCTTCTCCAGAAAGACTCCGCCGCGACCGATACTACGCGCGTAGGGCAGAGTCAGATCGTAGGGCAGCTGGACCAAAGTTCCAGAAGGGTCGAAAAGTTTTACGACGTGGCTGTCTGCATAATGATCAGACCAAGGTAGTAGTACCTGACGTTGTATCTCAACAGCACCATGGCTCCGGAAGACCATGGCTAATCTGTCTCTAACAAGATTCTGTAGAAGCACGTCGTTGGCCTTTATCGTCTGGGTTGTCGCACTGAGGTCCCAAGCATGATCTTTCGCTTGGGTGTCAGGCTTCTGTGAGAAGAGAGCAGCCATCATTTTCGCGTAATGTGGCGAGTTGCGATCTGAAAGGGCTTTGAGAGCTTCCTTGACGGCTTCGTCCTCCATCTGGGCAGGTACCTTACCGCTTCTCAAGAGCTCAGTGCATCCTGGTCGCTCCGAGGGGCGATGGCTGATAAGCGACTTGATGATGCCACCTTGCAACGACTTTTCGGGGGTTTCAAATTCTTGTGGAAGATCGTGTTTTCGTTCACGCAACGACCGAATAACCTTGTCACGCTCCATGGCAGTCCTTAGGGGAAAACACATCTCGAAAAAGATGATGCCCATGGAGTACATGTCCACTTTGTTGTTGTAGTCGCCGATAACACTAGAGCTCAACTCGGGAGCAACGTAAAGTGCAGTGCCTACGCTTCGCGTCATGTCGCCACCGTCCTGTGTACCGCTGGAAGACTTCGTATCGGATCTCTGATATTGTCCACTAGTAGCTAGTCCGAAGTCGCCGATCTTGGGGACTTTAGCCATATCAATGAAGACATTGTCGGGCTTGAGATCACGATGTATGATACCATGACCATGGATGTGAGCGAGCCCTTCGAGAATTTGCCGAAACAGCCTCCAGTACTCGTCTGGATCGTCGTACAGACCTGTACGAATCAAATCTCGTAGGGTTTGCTTCTCACAAAACTCCATTTGAATATACAAGATTGATCTTGACGACTTGGTAGGCATCGAATCGGACATGGCGCGTTTTTTAACTGCCGGCGAAAGCGATCCCAGGCTAGCCTCATCTTCTAAGCTAGGTCAGCCTATGATATGTTTGTAAGCTCAGATGAGATAAAACTTACCTGAATCGGAACCAAAGATTACTGCACCAACATCATCTTCCGACTCGTCGTCGGACCCGAATTCAATCTTAGGATACCCACTGGAGCTGATGAAGTCTAACCCCCCACCGCTTTTCCCGTGACCGCCACCATCTGTTGTCGTCGTGGTTGGAGAAACGTCCGATTCCCAGTCAGACTCATCTCCATCTGATGATGCAGAGTCGTAATCGTCATCGGCTTCAGCTTCTGGCCAGGCCGTGTAATACCGTACCACACAGCTATGGTTGAGCCGTGACAGAAGCATGACCTCTGAGAGGACCTCACTCAGTGCTGCTGCAGACTTTTGCTTAATCTTCTTGATGGCATAAAGGCGACCATCGACTTTGTTACGAGCTTTCACGACTTCACCGTATCCACCCTTGCCCAGGCGCCCTTGTTCGACCCAATCATTGGCGTATCGTGAATATGATGGAACAACGCCGGATGAAGACTCACGCCGTAGCCTATAACGACCCAACGACGTCGATGAGTTTCTAGAACGTACAGGCGTGGAAGGTCGTTCGTATACATCCACGTCGTCGCGCAAAAATTCGCATGGGATCAGGTCGAAGGCGGACGGTCGCTTCTTGGGATCAGGTTTAAAGAATTTGCGCAAGACTTCTTGCAATGGTTCCGAGCAGCCAAGGATATCTGACAGCTCCTTAGGCGAGTTGTACTTCCCAGGCGCATCGAACCCGAACAGCATCTGAAGGAAGGTGACTCCCAAGTCCCATACATCAGTCTTACGAGTGTGATGCGCATCCTGTGAGAGTTCAGGTGCTATCCAGTAGAACGATCTTAGTGGTTTTGTCGGTTGTACGTCTTGATACAGGCTTTGTAGGTGGTATAAGGAACCTTGGAAGCTAGCATCAGCCAGAAGCACTGTTATACCACCGCCAGAAGATCTCTTGAACAAGATATTGTGCGGATGAACGCGTTTATGGACTATTCCGTTGCGGTGATAAAAGTCTAGTGCTTCCAAGAGCTCAATGGTCCAGGAGCGAACTCGTGCGACCGGCAAGGGTCCATCATCGGCAAGTCGCTCGCCTAGGGACCCTCTGTCAGCGTGTTCCATCAGGACACTGATTTCCCACCCGGGGTCAGGAAGGTGCTCAACTTTGAAGTCCAGGACGGATAAGATGGCGCCTTGTCGTAATCTTTTAATCTCTTCCATCTCGTCTTCGAACCCCATAATAGCCTTCTTCAACTGAGGGTCAGCAGCAGCACTTCCACCTCCTACTCGAGCCCGCTTCAATACTAGCGTAAGGGTCGTTGAACTACCAGCCGGTTTGACCAGTAGCTGTTCTGTTAGAGGGCCAGAACGGAAAGGGAGTGGGTTCTCAACACCGTTGCACTGGATTGTAGTATCTTCATGCTGAACGGTAATGGTCCTGTCGAAAGAAATGTAGTTGACATTCTCGCCGCTGGGGAAGTACGAAGGCGGAGTGATGGCAGATACACGATGCTTCTTGCGCTTTGCCATCAAGTCTTTCCGGCGCATTTCGTCGCCTACCATCTGCTGCAACAGGCGCTCTTCCTCGGCCTTCTCCTGGTCCCGCTTCTTCTGTAACTCTTCTTCTTGCTGTTTCAACTGTTCGACTGCAGCAGCTTCTTGCACTGCTCGCTCAGCATCCAGATTCTCGTAAGCTCCGTCCGTCTCGCGGACTGCGATCTCGTCCTCGAGTATCTCTTGGATGGCGGTCGCAATGTCGTAGATCATTACCTCGCCTACTAGTTCGCGAGGTCGGTTCTTTAGCAGGCCATAGAGCCTATCCCAGGTGCTTTTTCTTAGGCTGCCACCATCTTCTAGAGTAAGTTCGGGTAGCGTTTTAGGGTAGGTGGCAGTGAGTTTAGCACAAAGTGTAATGGAAATCTTCTCGTTGGAAAAGGATGACAACTTCAGGCGCAATACGCGATCTGTAGTTTTCTATGCTGAAGTTAGCGCTTGCCCCGAACTGAGATCGAGTCATCGTTGAGCAAATTGATATGTCGTGGTAACATCGAAACTCTGTGACTTACGCTCCATGCACCTTTGGCTTCTGATTCTTCATAGTCGTCCATGAAGACAGCCTTCAAGACTTCGCGCTCATCTTCTTGTGCCTTCTCGTAGGTTTCGGAGGTTTGCGACACCATCGGAGGTCGCGATTCTCCGAACGGGCTGGTTGGGCCCATCTCATCGTCGCCAGTCGGCGTACCTGTCGGCGTAGATGCATTATGCGTTTGTTTCTTATTCTTTGGTGTTCTTAGCGGTGCCATAGTGGGCTAGTGGTGATGATTGAAAAGGCCGTCATATAGGGTATCGACGGAGAGACTAGCAGCCGTAGCCGCTGCCCTTCACACTGCAGACATCTTCGACTGGTAAAAACTGCAGTGAAAGATGTTGAGAATGACGATAGAGACTTCGTGGCCAGCGCAGCGCACGTCAAGTAGCGGTCGGTGGGGGCGATATGTTGGCGAAGCCCCGCCATCCATGGGTCCGTTCCGCGCTATCCCTGCAGGCACAGGTTGAGCCGCCGGACGCGACTTTCTCATGTCTCGAGATCGACGAGCAGGAACAACAAACAGCATCGCACCTTCTTCCATTCCGGCAATGCGCTAGCAGACTATCGCATGGTACGTCAGACGTGTTTGCGAACCATTCGCGACGGTACAGAGTCCACGAAGGCGCCTATTCCACTCTCAGCCCTCGCTTTCTGCGAGTAAACAACCCGCCAAACAAACACACGGATATACCCACCCAGCGCATTCGAAATCGCCATCACTTTCACCACCACGCCTGGCCCACGACTCTCGCCCCGAACGGCGATACACGCTTCATCATGTTTTCTTGGATTACCGGCCCGCGCATCACCAATGTGATCGAAGACCTCCAGCCTGGTACGTCGCACTGTGTTACGCGCCTCCTGCGGTTTGCTAACAGCACCAGAAAACAACTACGAGTCCACTTTTATCGAACCTCCAGAGACACCGGCCCATCAGTTCGCTGTCAAGGCTTTTAAGCATGCCATATTCGGAACACCCGCACCTGAGGAGGCAAAAGATGCTTCAAAGAAGAGCGAAAGGAAGGCAAGGATAGATGCAGCAAACGCAAAGTTCGAGCTCCCCGCACCGAAACAGAGCCGTCCACCCATCTCGCCGTCAAAACAGCCAGGCGGCATCCTCATGACGCCAGGCACCGCAAGCAAGGGAAGGAAGCAGGTGTCATTCGGATCGCAGGTGGTAGATAACGAAGGCAAGCGCGACAACATTGGCAAGACCGGCATACCCAACGACTGCCCTGGGAAGTTCCCTAGTCCTTGGACACCTGGCACGCACCTGAAGCTTGACCCCGAAAGTGACAAACGACCGCGTACCCGCCTCACCGAAGCCCTACTCGACGCGCGAACGACCACGCAACCAAAGTCGGGGCAGAAGCCCAAGGCGAGGGACGACAGCGACATCACAATAGATCTGGGTGCCCCACGATCCGAGTCTGGCAAATACTGGAAGGAGCAGTACGAAAGCTACGCGGAAAACAGCGAAAAGGAGATGAAGAAGGTCATTGCCAAGCAGCAGCTTGCTAAGAAGTTCGCCATGAAGAAGGATGGCGAAGCCACAGAACTATCTACCAAACTTGAGCAGGAACGCAAGCGGTACAGACAGCGAGAGCGGGATCTAGAGCAGCAGAACAAGGACCTCCAGGAACGGCTACGTCAAGCGATGGCCGAGAGCATGTCTTCGAGTATCGAAATTGCAGCGCTGAAAGCCCGAATCACGGTCTTGGAAGCGTCAGGCTCAATACCTTCCTCTGAGCTTCAACAGAACAAAGCTCCATTCGAGATATACGAGGATGCCAGTAGAGATCATGCACGATCGCCCACGCGTGGCTTAGAAATGGACCTTGAAGTTTCGTATGCTGCGAACAACAGCATGGCTTCTTCTACCAAAGAGAATTCGTCACCTAAGCCCCGCCGTAACCGCCGTGGTACTATCCCCGATACACTGAACCGACCAGTGCTTCCGTCCAGACTAGGAACAGCAGAGGGCGAGGCCTCCATCATCCTAGGCAGATCACCTCGTGCACCGGCACGTCCATTTGAAATCACTTTAGAGAAGGCGCTTGCGCAGCCTCAGCAAGAGCAACCACAGAGATCGCCACTGAAAATCCGCAGGCCAGATCCAGCCGACGAGAACAATGCGCCCACCGCAACTCTGCCCTCCAGTCCGTTGCCGATGCCATCGCCAGGTCTCGATCCCTGGATGGATATCAACAACAGTTCGATAGCGCAGATGGACAAAATGGCTCTACCAGTCTCTACTGGTCAGCCATATTCACGACCTGAGTGGAATCCGCCACCAAAACAGCATCGAGTGTCGAGATCTGTATCGCAAGTCAAGTCAACGGAGACAACTAAGTCAAGCGAGAAGACTACCGTGCCTGAGAAGAGCGACAGAAAAGCCGAACCCACTCGACGCAGAGAACGTGCGATGGAGAAGGCCACTCACGTCTCAGAGCTTGAGGCAACATCGGTTTCGTCGAAGAGAGCCGAGAAGCAAAAGCTAGAGGAACCCAAGACTGACGCATCCTCCCGTTCCGCTCGAAACGATGCCAAGTTCGATCTCTCGAAGGTCACCGCACACCATGCAGAAGGTTCTGCACAAGTGAAGCATGATCGTAGCCAGATGCTACCTGTCGACCGCAAAGAGCAAGCGAGAAGACGGCTCGAAGAGAGGAAGAAGTTGAGGAAGGCCGGTCCTTCGATTGTTGCATCTTGATTGTTAATCCGAATATTGGATACTAGAGTGTTTTGTTGCATTTTCTCCGGAGTATAGGATTACCATGGCTATTGGGTTCTGGGTCATTGCACGATACCTTCACATGCTTCATCGTTTACAGAATTCAATTGGATATTCATACATTGCTTCATGTACCTCGTACACAGCGCTCTACTATGCAAAAATGGGGTATCATCCCAAACGCCATCGAAAATGCTCGTTCGCTTATGCCAAAACCTTATTTCTTTCCCGCAGCAATAAGCTCCAACGCCTTGTAAACCGGCACATCAGTCTTCTCCAACTGTGCTCGTTGATAAGACGTCATCTTGCCTAAGACATATTTGCTTACGACATTCGGATCCCTACTCTCTGGTCTCCCAATCCCAACGCCTACTCTCCACCACTTTACCCCTCCAAGGCTTTGTTGACAGCTTTTTATGCCATTGTGACCTTTTGCGCTGGCGCTACCGTCGCGGACTGTCACTTTGCCTAGCGCAGATTCAAGTTCGTCGTGTACGACTACTAGTCTGCCTTCTAACGTCGCACTTCCAGAGGCCTGCCGTAAACCACGTAACCACTCATTGTATGCCCGGAGTACGCCACTCCCACTGACGTTCATCAATGACGTGGATTGCCAGAACGTCCAGTCATCTTCTGTGCTTTTGTCTGTTGCTACTCTTCGGTACCCGGTCAGACCAAATGCCATGTGTGTAGTCGGAGGCCGTGACACTAGGCCTGATAGGCCTCTTTGAAAGCCTTCATAGCGTTTTGCTTCGGAGAGTGCTGAGGTGACGATGTGACCTGCGGAGTGTAGTGTATTGGCATACGCTGAGCCTGGGTTGCCGATGGAGGCTACGAGGAGAGGGTAAGCGGTTTGAGCAGCGGGTTTCGCCATTGAGATTTCTGGCGGTATTGTTATGGACGAAGCGTCAGATTCTGCAACAAGCCTGCGATTCTGCTTCGGGGACTTGTTGGAAGGTTTGCGGGGTTGGTTCGCCGGAGTCTCGGTATCGGATTGCGTGGGCGTTGGAAGGGCGGAGTCGTGCCTTTGCTTCTCTTGTTTGCGTTCCTCTTTGCGAAGCTGCTTCCGCTTTCTTCGTCTGGCGGCTGCTGTGGTGGGCTCGTCGCTGCTGTAGTCGCTGTCTTCCGGTGGTGAGGCTTGGACATTTTCGTGGAGATCGGCGGCAGGGATTAGCGAAGCCGTAGGGCTCGCCACGTGCGCACGTGTGGTCGCGTCTGACATGATATGGGATGAAGAGAGAGTTGTGACGGTGATCGCGACAAGATTATGCGGAACGAGCTTCTCTTAATCCAGTCAATACCTTGTGCTTTGACTTGCTCTGTGAAGTGAGCCGTGGGACGTCATAACAGGCGCTGTGAATTGTTCCGATCACAGCCACACGTAAGAGTCATAGTGGATTGGTAAGGGCGCTGCACCGCAAGCCGCCCTTTTCAAGATGATACGGATATGTCATCATAGGAGAAGTATAGCTTTTTGCAAACTTCTCGGGTGATTAGCATGTGGATAGTGATTTGAGACGCGAATCGGAAGGTACAGATCGTGGGATCTCTTGGCGTACATCATTGCTCAGGAACAAGGGTCTCGGTGCCGCATTTCACCCTAACTAACCCCGATAACATCCGCCACCTGCGCGCCGACAGCCGTGTAATCAGTAACTTCTTCAACCACTCGCTCAAACAAGATCGTGCACATCAAAACCTCATTTTCTATCTCTTCGTCATCTCAACATGTCCGAACGGCCGGCAACACCACCACGAGCGACTCGCTCAGCGGGCAAGCTTCCGCCTAATCCTCCCACCCCCGAGCAGATCAGGCGCATGGAAGAGGCTCGCCTGAGAGCAAAGGCGCAGGCGCAACAAGCACAAGCATCGAAACCTACACCAGCGCCTGCCGCCGGTACCAAGCGAGCGTACTCCTCTATCACAGCCGCGCAGACTCCAGCGACCCTTCGCAACGCTGCAGCGGCATCACCCGCCAAACGCGATCAAAATGGCTTCATACAGCCGCCATCGAACGACTATATCCAACCGGCAAAGAAATACGCGAGATCGGACTTCATCGAATATGATTTCAGTAAAATGACGGATACGAAGGGTGGTTTCCTAAGCACCGTAGACGACCCGCACAACAAGGCTATGTGGAAAGGGCAACAAAAGGAAGAGCAAAAGCCAGAGGGCGTATCAATGGCAGAATGGGAAAGGGAGCGTATAAGACGGAAGCTTCGTGCCAACAGGGCCGGTCCATATGAGCCTGGTATCTCCATCTTGGACACGGTCAATGGCAAAGAAGAAGAGGATGAGGAAGCAGCACTGCTTGAGGCTGCTGAGAACGCCGAGATCGAGAGTGGGACATTCAAAGGCAAATATGGCGATGGCAAGCGTGACGTCAAGGGCAAATGTCGGGAATGTAACAGTCTCGAGATCGATTGGAAGTGGCAGGACATATTCGGCATCGGCATCTGCAATATCTGCAAGGAGAAACTCCCAGACAAATACTCTCTCCTCACCAAAACCGAAGCGCGAGACGACTACCTCCTTACCGACCCCGAACTCAAAGACGAAGAACTCCTACCTCATCTTGAACGACCGAACCCGCATAAACAATTCTTCCACCCCATGCAACTTTTCTTGCGTCTTCAAGTCGAAGCGTATGCTTTTAGTCCGCAGAAATGGGGCTCAGCAGAAGCATTAGATGAGGAGTACGCGAAAAGGCAGGTTGTGAGCAAAGAGCGGAAACAAAAGAAGTTCAAGAACAAGTTGGAGGATCTGAAGAAGCGGACGAGGGTAGAAGCATACAAACGCGCGCGATTAGCGGGTGACGGCGGTGACGCGCAATTTGGGCAAAAGATCAAAGGCAGGTACGATAGGCATGAGCACGAGTGGGGCAGGAGCGTACTTGATCCTGAGACGGGTATGACAAAGAAGAGGTGTGAGGAGTGTGGGATGGAAGTTGAAGAATTGGAGTTTTAGATAAGCTCGAGTGGCATGGCAATGCGTCGCGCCAGATGATACCCATATTTGCATTTCTTGTCCTTTACATCCATGGGTTGGTAGCAAGCGTTATGTAGTGAGTCCTTATACCACATTACGTCTAGCGTAGAATGTGGAATTGACTTGCATCTTGTCATCGACCCGCAAGACGAGCCCCACTTCGCCTCGTCCCTGGCACCTGCCCTCCACGCCATGAAGCATTGTGGTCCAAATTCCATAGCCGTTTATCTTAGTATATATAATTATAGATCGAGCTCTTAGTCATCGAAACAGCTTAAGGGCCGGTAACTCAGTGGTAGAGTGTAGGACTGCAGTTCACCAATAAACCGCCTTCCCGAAGTCACCGGTTCGACTCCGGTTCGGCCCTTCCTTTTTTTGCACTATGTCCTTTTTGCTCGCTCTGACAATCTCTCTTCTCTTCCAAGAAGGCTGGAGTTGGTCTGCAATTTCTCGGTTTGCAGTTGCGACAATCATTTTTGCTTCGTGGGCGAGCACAGTGGGCCAAAGCTGTGTACTCTGCTCCATGATATTGCAGGAAAATGATAAACACATAGCCTACTACAATCGACTATGGCTTGGTCGAGAACCGGTACTGGAGTTGCAGATGCCGATAAGTCCGTCTGATGCTGTTACACACTATCTTTCCAATTGGTATAGTATAGGAACAGTGCATAGCGATAGGAATGTATGTGAGGACGTTGGAATACAGTCAGACGGCTCGTCGATCGTACAACATGTTCTCCGCACCGAGCTGACCTCCAGGTGCCATTTAGTACTAGCGTCGGGTTTAGACACAATAATGCCGAAGCATTACAACACGAAGCGCAGCATATATGTAGACACCCTTGGCTCATGCTTTCGAATATTTCGATTTGATGACCGTAAGACTGCTTTCCCGTTTTGTACCCCGATCAGTCTCCCTCAGCACTGCACCAAGGTCGTCGTTTTCACGAGTGCATCCAAGATACTACGCGTCCGCAATGTCGCCTATTCCCATCGTCGTCTGTGGCAGAAACCCAAATATCGCAAAGGCCGTAGCTGAGGGCGTCAAACCAGAATACGATGGTATGCTTGGATATCTTGGTCGAACTAGTATGTGCGCGGGGAAATGTAGCTAACCTCATCATCTTTCAGTAATCCACATCAACCTCTCTGTCGAAGAAGCAACATCTTCGATACCTCTAATCATTTCGTCCAAGACCCCACCCAATAGCTCCTCCAACATTGGCTCCCAGAATTACGGCACCAGGCCTGCTGTCGTAGCTCTTGGGGGTGGTTTCAACGATGAAATGTTCGAGGAGATCAAAGGTTCTTGTGGAGATGAGAAGATGGTATGGGTGCGCACAGATAAAACCAGAACCGGCGAGATGCCGGATTTCAATGATTACGAGGCGTATGGAAAGGCGACCGGAGCGCGGCTGAAGAAGTGCTTGGATGAGTTGAAAGTTGGGAGGGACGGCGGTCAAACAGAAGGGGTGTGGTTCTTCTAAGTAAGATTCGAGTATATCGACACGAGCAAGTGCATGGCGTTCCTACAGTCATTTTTGTTGTGGGCACTATTTCAAGGGGCATGCGCTAAAGTCTCTTCCGCATCAGCCAGTACGTGTCATTTTTTGGTTCCGTTGAAGAGAAAGAATGTGGGATACTAAGGTCAAAAGAGAAGACTTTGCGTACTTCTACAAGTACTTCAGTACCGCTGACATGTGATGATTTTGGCTATTTTTCAGCATGATCCTTCTACTCGTATGTTGCTCGGTCTGCGCTGTGTTTGTATCGCCACATGCCTCTGGATGAACAAAATCGGCCATGACATGTACTCATGAAATTGATGTTTCAGGGAAGCGCTGGGACTAGTTCGAAACCATATGATACTTGTATCTAGACTTTGGAGTACCAATTCCAATGGGCCTTCTTCATTATATGTCTCGCAAGGGCAAGAAGTCGTCTCATACGGCGTTGTGGGCGTAATTTCGAAGAAGTACAAAGTGGTTCATAGTAAATTTGGAACATTTTTTTAGAATGCGATATTATAGAGATACAAAGAGGGCGCAAATCAGGATGCGTTTTATACCCCGAGTACCGAGGACAGTACGCACAACGCATAGCGCTGGTATTCGGATGTTGAAATCTCTTTCGTCAATCAGGTCATTCTTTTACTGGCATTCGTCTTTCGAGCTCCTCAATCATGATCTCGAGACCTCTCATCTTTGGTGTAACGATTCGAGAAACGAAATACGTTCTTTGAAGACACCAAGTCGTCTCCAGGCATACACCGTGAATTGAGTATTTTTTGTTTGGAAGAAGAGCAAGATTCACACACATAGAAACTTTGTTTCTACATTTTGGGAAAATCTAAGCAACTGAGTACGCTATGAGAAGGCAAGAATCTTCATGAGAGAAGGGAAGGATTTATATGTTCACCGATCTAACCCAGTCTCAAGTACTTAGCACGACTATGCAGCTTGGATACACTCGATTCAATAAGGAAGTTTTGTCAGAACCATGTCTCCTCGCGAGTGCCAGCGCACATATTGCATCTTCGCTTTGTGTTCTTGGTTGTGTTCGAGAACTTGGGGATCTCACGCTGTATCTAAGACAGTCGCAGCAACACACCAACATCGCGTGTGATCGTAACCATTTTAGCTCGTTCCCGTGAGTGAGGCCGTTTGGAATTTGGGCGGAAAAAGAAGGAAAAGACATGCATGTTGCTGTGGCGCACTTTCAAACAGCAAACATACCATAAATCTTCAGCCTTTTCGTACTTGTGTATTGCAAGAGGGGCTGATAGAAATAACTGCTCACGAGACGTGTAATGTGCCTACATTTAAGAACCAACTGGAGAGAATCAAGGTCCATCCTTTCTTTGAACACGTTTTTGAGAGGCTTGTGAACGTGAGAGCAGGTTTACGACTCGTGTTTGGTTTCTGCAACATGGAAGAAACAGTATTGGTCTTTTGAAAGTCAAAACGAACAGACATACAGCATAGACATAGCAGTTTTTGGTGTTCATATCTTTGTGCAGAGATAAGAGCACTAAACCACGGCGGAAGATTTTAGGTCCAGTCCTCAGCGCTGAGACCATAGTAGCGGTCCTAACAACATTTACAAAGAGCACGCTAAAAGCTCATACGATGTTCGTCCAGTATTTTTGGGATCTTGAAACATGGTTGAGTAGAAGCCTGAGCCGTCGAAGGTGTAGTAACTTTTTAAGATTCGGTCGCTCACACCACCATGGCTTGAGTTGGTCTCTTTTTTTGGTACCTGTGCCTTGACATGTTCTCCGAGTCCAACATCACACCATCTTCACCATCGCTGCGAGCTAGACCAGCCATAACCCAGGTCGTTTAGCCTTTTTGTCCTGCAGCAGATCGACTCCCTATGGCCAACCTTCGAGTTGTTTTGAGGATTTAGACTTGATTATGAGATGATGCTGTGAAACCTCCAAAAAAGGAGACCTTGATCCACGATCAGAGTTGTTGCAAATGTTGAGCGAGGAAATCAGAACAGGCCATGCCCCGTATTTTATGTCGTTTTGGTATTATGTGGGAAATGGTTGATATGCGAAGAAGTAGAATGGGAAGGCGAGCGTATGGTTTTATACACTTTTTAGTACCAAGCTCGGAATCCGTGCTCAATCTGTACAGTAATGTCAGCCTTAAAATCATCTCAAAGAACATCCATGTGTTCACAAAAAACCAACACCACGTGGTCATGGGAACATTCGAGAATTTGTTTGAATCTTTCATTATTCTTCATTAACACTTAGCGCTTTTACCGCGCAAGGTATCTATCATTATCCACCACATTGCTCTAGTACTTGTTCCAGTACTGGCCGCGACCCCTCCTCTTGCCCTTGACATCGGCCTGCTTGACAACAAAGACACCACGGTCAATGGTGTTGATGACAACGTAACCAGATTCAAAGGTGTAGGCAGACCAGGTACCAGCGTCCCAGAGAGCGTCACCGCCGCCGGGCTTGACATCATCCGGAGGGTAGACATCGAAGTAGGCAATCTCCTTGACCTTGGAGCCGTCAGGAAACTTGGGGATGCTGGAGACGTCAAGGATACGGAGACCGGCCTGGTAGTTGGATTGGTAGTCAAGACCGTCGTAGACGTATTGGTTGTGGTCGACAGAGCGGGTGGTGGTCTTGTAGTAGCCGGTGACGACGGGCTTCTCAAGGTTCTGGATGTCCCAAATGTAGGTCACAGCGAAACCATCTTTGGCGGGACTGTCAACAGCAGTGCGGTTGGGGTCGATTTGGCCCTCGTCAAGCTCATCGTCCATGACGATGTGAGTTTGCCAGTAGGGGTCGAGAACCCAACCCTGATGGGTGTAGGAAGCTCCGACGTAGGGTGTGCGAGAGATGATGGCACCAGCGTTACCGAAACCCTTCTTGTTGGTGACGTCGTAGATGGTCAGGGTGTCCTCGTTGTAACCGTAGCAGATGTCACGGCCGTAGTACTTCTTGTGAGGTCCACGGTAGACAATGCATTGAGCGTCGTGAGTGTAGCCGTCCTGGCCGTTGCAACCCTCAACGTAAGGCTTGGTGGGGTCGTCCATGTTGATGAACATGGGTCCACCAGCACAGGTGTCGTTACGACCGGGACGACCGCCAGCACCGCAGGCGACGGCATAGTTCTTCTCATTGTTGGCGACGACAGTGTGGGTGCGGCCCTTGATACCCTGGTTGATGTCGACAAGGGCAGTGTCTTTCTTGATGTCGAAAGTGAAAGGCTTCTTGGGAGAGAGCTTGAGCAGCTTCTTCAGGTCAAAGACCTGGACGTGGTGACCAACACCCTCGGAACCAACAATGAGGCTGTCACGAACGACCTTGATCTCACGCCAAATAACGGAGTCGTTGTTGGCGGGAAGGCGTCCAAGGTACTCCAACTGACCGTCCTTGGTAACTTCGGAGAAAGAAGCACCGTAAGTCTGACCGATGGCAATCTAATTGGAATTAGTTTTGGTTCGCTTTTATCCAGAGGATAATTCGGTATAACAGGGATTACTTACGAAGTCACGGCCCTTGTGCGACCAACCCCACGAGCCACTTCCCTCGCCAATGGCATCACCGAGCTCCTCGTGCGTCTTGAAGTCGTACAGATCGATGTTCTTGCACTGTGCTAGTGTTAATTGGGAATGGTTTTGGTGGAATGATCTTTCTTACCTTGTAGGTTTGGTCGGCATCTCCCTTGACAGCCTCAACACGGCCGTGCTTGCACTCAATCTTGTTCTTGTTGGAGCGCTTGTGGGAGAAGCCATTCCAGCGCTTGCTGTCGTAGTTGCCAGCAGCGCGTTGCTTAGCCCATGCCATCTCCTTGCCGGACATCATGAGGTCCATGACCTCTCCAGAGGCATATTGCTGGTGGGTAAAGCCATGAGCGGCGACCAAAGGCAGCAAAGCCGTGGTGATAGTAGCCCACTTCATCTTTGCGAACAAGACTGCGGATTGACGGTTGGCAGTTGATGATGATCCGAGAACCTGGGAGCAGGTTACAACACTTTATATATCCTCCCCTCTCTGCACCACCCTCTCGGAAGCACCGACCTGCCATGATGCCGTCGCGTGCAGGACGCCGTAGATGACTATCATGAGCAGACCTTCCTATCGCAGGTACTCCGAAAAGTTAGTATAAGCAACCAAGGCCGTATAGAAGCAACGACAGCGGCCGTTGTATGCAGCAAGGTCCTGGGCGAACCTTGGTGAAGTCTTGGGCGTGATTTTTGCAGGCAATCGTTCATGTACGCCGAGAATAGTGTGATGCTTGGCAAGCATTCCGCCTTGGATTCGAGCATGGGAGCATGGAACTACGGCTGGTGTACCCCAGTATACTGCAGGGCATGCTGGTCGAGGCCATGGCGGGGCTACACAGACGCAGTGCAACCTAGGGTGGGATCTTCTTGAGCGGAGATGGGGATTGGTAGATAGCGTAGCCTAAAGAGGAAGCTGCTTTGCTTGCCAAGAATGACTGGACCCCATGCGCGCCACGACCAAATAACCGTGAGGAGCTTTGAACCTGACTATTGATTCTAGAGAAGGTGGTGAACTGGATGGTGTAAGCCGACGATAGACTTTAGCCGGATCGATGCTGTGCGTGGATACACGAGGACATTCCAGGCAAACTTCCGTCAAGAGGATGCTGCGTGTCAGATGTCGCCATTCCGGTGCTCAAGAGTGTGCTTGAATCCGACTAAAAATGGAAAACCTCGCTCTTCCGGTCTATGCGGTAGGCAACGGAATGCAAAAGAACGGAAGTGGAGTTGAACCGAAGCGCGCCTATCGGCAGACGTTCACCCAGGCACCAAGGTCCTTATCTCGACTAATACGAATTCTGGGAAACCGAAAGGGCGATCTCCACGGTTGGCCTTGGCATGTTACTCGTTGAGTCGAGCAGCATAGGTAGCGGAGATGAGGCGGAGTATGTGGTGGCGACTGGCAGAAGAAGGAAATCGATGTGGTCAGGAGCGCGGAAGGGACAGCCTCTTGTAGCATACTCCTTCAGTGCCCACTGAGCATGATTGAGGTACACTTTGAGCACAATTGAGGGTATTCTAGAAGGCCTACATATTGACAGGGTCATTGGCGCAGCGCATGACGAGCCGCATGCTTCGCGTACTTCCAAGCTCTAGTAACTTGACAGGACCACGGTCATGGTACTGCCATGCCTTTGTGCCTAGGTGATGGACAGGTACCGCCAAGATCTAGCAAGACCGTCATCTGGGATATTCGAATCTTGGAAAAAGCTCAAGTAGATGAAATATTTGATGTTATCAGGCAGAAGAGGGTGAAGGATGCGACGCTGAAGGACCGAAAGGCAGAGCGGAAAGAAGGCGCGCGAGGCGCCTCGGCTGGACTTGCCATGCAGTCGCGACATCACGTCCCTTCTCACCACCCAAATCCTGGTGCCACGCTCCCAGCCCCAGCTTCGGCCAATCACCACAACCATGCAGCTCACCGAAGACGACCTCTATCGCAACTCTACGCAGTTTAGAAATTGGTCTTTCACCGCGCCACAACTAGCCGCCCAACGGCTGAAGATCAACATTCAAGCCACCGAGCGCGTCAAAACGAATGTTGCGCGTTTACGAGCCCAGCGCGGCAACGACGCCGTGGACAATGATACTGTTGGATCTGGCATAGACAAGGAGAACGGGAGCGGGACTAGCGGAACCAACACTCCAGATGGGCGAATGCAAAGCGTAACAGAAATAAACTGCCTCACCGCAGAGGAGGAACTGAAGATAGTAAACGAATTCTGCGAACGCGCAGTCGCCCTGGGGAACCATTACAGCTTCCCCTTGAACGTCGTCGTATGTCTAACTACACTTCTCCTGCTCTTTATACGCCTCCAGCACTTCATACTAGGAAATAGATGAGAGATGGTCACTAATGCATCACCAGTCAACATGTATCCAATTCCTCCGCCGCTTCTACCTCTACAACTCTCCCATGACCTACCACGTTAACAACATCCTCCGCACAATAATGTTTCTCGCCACCAAAGTCGAGCTCTTCCCCATCCACGTCTCGCAGTACGCTGAAGGCGCTGGCCGCAACGTGACCGCCGAAGACGTCCTCGCCCCCGAATACATCATCGTCCAGAGTCTCCGCTACAACCTCGACGTCCGGCATCCATTCCGCGCTATCAAGGCTGGTCACATGGAAATGCTGGAGATGGCGCATGGGAAATACCAGGGGCCGGCGCAGGGACTAGGATCGAAGGAGATCCAGGCTAAGATTTGTTCTGTTCCGGTAAAGGTTGGAGGTCCGGCGATGAAGATGCCCGAGAAGAAGGTTGAGGAGAGGATACATAATGCGTATGGTGTGGCGACTAACACCCTCCGCACTATTGCCGTGTTGACAGATGCGTACTTCCTGTACACGCCCTCTCAGATCTGGTTGTCCGCCCATCTCCTCGCCGATGAACCGCTCACGTTGTTTTACCTGTCACTCAAGGTGCCTACGTCTAATCCGGTTTACGACAAACTCCTGAGCACATTGCGGAAATGTGCATCTCTTATTTCAAGCCACCGTCTTTATGTCAATAATACACTACCAGCGCCAGAGCGGGAGGCGAGGGACGCGAAGCATAAGGCGGAAATCAAGACATTAATGCAGAAGCTTAAGAATTGCCGGGATCCAGACAAGGCCGATTTGGTCAAGTTGAATCAGGCGCAGAAGAGGGATGCAGTGCAGGGTGATGCGCTAGAGGAGAGTAAGGCCAAGAGGAGAAAACTGGCGAGGGAGGGGTATGAGAAGGAGTCTGATGCTTTCTGGGGGCCTGAGCTTAAGAAGGCGGAGTAGTGCGGTCGTGATGGTCAAGGATATGCATATAAATTTGGCGTTCACTCGTATCAGGCGACATTGGGTGGCGTTATAGGTGTTCCTAAAGATACCAGTGTGCTCATCAAGCGAGTAGCACAAGGAGTTTCAAGAGGGTAAACAAAATCATTTCACATTCTTGCTAATCTGGCTATGCAAGATTCCAGATCAAAGGCCGTGGCGTGCTGCCTCCTATTACCAATTACCCCGTCATGTTAATAAACCGACGTCTAACCAACACTTTGCCTTTTGAAGGCCTTTGCATGCTCCCAGTCATTAACCTGTCGCGTGTATAAACCGACGCCTATCCAATGTCTCACCAGTTTCGTGAATATTCAACCAAATCGATGCCACCAAATGCCCACACCGTAGCAAACTACCCAAATCTCGCCTGGATTCCGCCCGGAGACTCCTCGTGTCAATCAACAATGCGTTCAACGTGATTCTTCAAAAACTTGTAAGGAATCCTCCCCCGAGGCGCACCCGTTCGGTTTAGCATCAGTTACCACGCCCGTAAGGAGGTGTGTTGCCTGTCCTACCCTGTGCAACACCATTCCTCGGATCTCTTCGGCTGCCGTTCGGAAACATTGGCGCCACCGGCGCGATGCTTGCTGGTTTCTTCGCTCCTAGGACAGAGTTGCCGAGATGGTTGCTGGGAGATTTGCCAGTATAGTTGCCGAACATGCCGCCATTGCTGGTACCCGGACGTCCAAACTTTCCAGAGGAATCGCTCATTTTGTTGGCTTTCTCCTGCGCTTCATCTTTCTTACGACCCTCAAGCAGAGCCTTCATCGACTCGAGGGCCTTGCGGTGCTTCTCCGGGACTTTGCTCATGTCGTTTTCGAAGGTAGTCAGAATGTGAGCCTCGCGCTCCTTATACTTCTTTTCGAGTTCGACGATGGTGTAGCTAGAGATGTCGCGCTGCTTCTTCTTCCTAGGTTGAGGCGTTGAAGCAGAAGTCGGGTTTGCGGTCGGGCCATCTTGCAGTTGTGGCGTTTGTTGATCGAGCTCTGAGTGGGAATCGGTCTCCGCAGAATATGCCTTGGTGCTGGTCGCGTTCTGTGTAGTCTTAGGAGTAGCTTTATCGACGGGCGACTCTTCGTTACGCTTCCTTTCAACGGAGGATGAGTACGCCTCACGACGAGATCCTGATCGTAATGTAATGAGGGGAAGATCTTCAGCATCGTCGTCGTCGACGTGCTGCTCTCGAACTTTCTTCACATGTGCGTGATGATGATGAGCGTACTCTTGGCCTCCAACATGGGTTTCTGCCATATGATGTGAGCCAGGTCGACAAACTTCGCTGGGATATTCGGTCGTGGGAGCCAGATCTGGATCCACAGGAGGTACTTGGTCGTCTTCGTCATCGTGTCCGTCTGAATCTTCCGTGCCGCCACCTTGTTCAGCAATGCCCTCTTGCACCTGCGCCGCTTTGTTAGCAGTGGTATCGCCAACTTGATTAGAGTCACCAACTCCTCCTTGTCCCAAGACAGGCACATGATTTTCGAAGAGATTCCCATGATGATCAACGTCATCGTTTTTGCAGTCCTTGTAACGCTCCTGATCGCGCCTCCCGTTACGATCTTGGGTCCCATCCTCATCCGTACCGTCCCGAGAAGGTCCACCAAAGTCGTCCCTGTATTTAGGCGGGGCTCGATCAACGTGCTGACCAAAAGACTCGTCGAAATCCTGGAGGACTCCTTTGAGATCGACCATCGCCTTGTGAAGATCTGGAAAGTCGCTACCGCAAGCCGTATAGATTGTGATCACGTTCCAGGACGCAATCATCAGGTTGTTAAAGTTTGGGAATGCCGTATTGACGATAGAGTTGAACAAATCAACTTTGACGTGGCTCGAAATCGTGTCGAAGGTCTTACGCTTCGCATCTTCAGGGATTGCGTCGAGACCAACGCATTTGCGCTTGTTGGAGACATGTTGAACGATCTCCTCATTCAGTGCTTGCTTGCGTGACTTCGTCACTACCATTTCGTCAGTGCTGTATTATCATAATGACTAAAATGATTACCACGAGTAAGAGTCCGGTCCTGCTCAGCCTTCGCTGGATCGAGCCTTGCGAGTGTCTGTACCCAGTCAGCAGGAAGTACTTGGTCCACGCAACTTATGTTCGAAAAGATGTCTGCAGGGGACCTGACAGAGTCCATAACATGCTAATGAACATACCTCTCCTTCATGAAACAAAACTGGCGCCTGGTTAGGCATGTTGTAAGCGGCCCGCCTAGCCTCGTTGATCTTGTTCATCCTCGCGAAGATAACCTGGAATTTTTCTTTGAACATTGGTACCATAGTCCTAGCAATGAAGCCATGAATAGGTTGGGAGTCAAGGACGTTTTCATCTTGTGGCAAAGGATCCTCAGTCTGCATCTGGATCTGGCCATCTTCTACCACTAGGTAAACGCGGTATATGGAGTTATGCTCTTCCGGTAGTTGTACGTTGCCAAGATCGAAACGTCTGGCTTCTTCTTTAAGTGTGGCCAAGACCAGTTCAGGCTTGATGATACTGTTCACTTTGGTGTAAGTAGGTGGCTCATCGTTACTGATACCCTCAATGAACAAATCCAGGTGGTGCGGATCATGAAAGCGAAGTTGGTCGCGGAGAATGAGCGCGCGCTTCTGAGCCTTGTTGAGCGAGATGAAGGTGGGTGCCTCGATCTCCATAGCGAATGAGGTGTCGAGGTCGTGTATAGTGGAAGCAGTCGTATTCTCTTGGGAGACACTGAGCGCAATTGCCCCGAAGGCGGCGACAATGTGAGGTCGTCAATCCAGAATCCAACTTTAACTGGTTATTGTGGTGGGGGAGACAAGATATCGAATTGGGTTTGGTAAGCGGTTTTTATATCCCTGGGGAGACGAGCTAGTACCGGTCTCTCACTTTTGCGGACTGTATAGCTAGCCCTTCTACTTAAGTGAAGGCAGTAACACCGCGAATGCTGAGGGTTTTAGTACATTAGATCTCGGCTGAAATTTGCCTGTGTGATGTGTCGCCAATGTGATGACGCTCCTTCCTAATACTGAAAGACCATAACTCAGTCAGGACTGTGCGATGAGGAAGACAAGGCTATATAACCAACCGAAGCCTCTTTGCTGCCCAATTCGACAGAGCCATTTACAGAAGCCAAAGAAGATAGCGCAACATGGCGAGAAAGATCGCGAAAGGTATGCGACGAGGTGACTTCCCTTGACCCAGATCGGATGACACAAGCGGTGCACGGTCACGACTGAGACCAGGAGCATAGAAGGAAGGTGCTACTTACTAGGCAACTTGGAAAGCTTTATTACGACAGCGAGGAACTGTCAATGGTGTAGATGCGTCAAATAGCTAGGTCTGGGGTTGTTGTAGTTGCCAGTCCATGACAGTTCTAGCAAAAGAACAAAGTTTCATTGTCGACAGGCTCACGAAAACATCACAACAGAAGGAAAGGTTTGACTGACTGTGAGTACTGTAAACCTGTCATGATCAGGTCGTTCATACGTGCAACTTCTACTGATACACTTGCAAATAGCTCTTGAGTGTTGAAGATGATATCAGACCTCGCATGCTTCCTACGCTTACAAATACAAGCCCTCGGGTTCACCCTCAGTCTTCGTCTTAAGAACACGCTCCCTTGCGGTACGGAAGTCCTCCATGTTGACCCGCATACGACGCTCGCGGAGCGCCATAAGACCTGCCTCGGAGCAGATGGCCTTGATGTCAGCACCAGAAAGGTCGTCCTTCTGGTTGATGAACTCGTCAAGATCGACATCCTCGTTGAGTGACATCTTGGAAGTGTGGAGAGTAAAGATCTTCTTCTTGGTGGTTTCTGCGTGGTGGTCAGCATCTGCACATTTTGCAATATATTGTGAAACTCACGGTCGGGGTTCTCGAAGAGAATCTTTCGGTCAATACGACCAGGACGGATAAGGGCAGGGTCGAGCGTCTCGATCTTGTTGGTGGCCATGATGACCTTGACGTCTCCACGATCATCGAAACCGTCCAGCTGGTTAAGCAGCTCCAACATAGTTCGCTGAATCTCACGCTCACCACCAGATGTTGACTCGTAACGCTTGGTACCGATAGCGTCGATTTCGTCGATGAAGACAATGGAAGGCGCGTTCTCGGCGGCGGTCTGGAAGAGCTGTCGCACTAGCCTGGGTCCGTCTCCTAGGTACTTCTGAATCAACTCACTACCCACGATACGCAGGAAAGTTGCGCTGGTCTGGTTGGCGACGGCCTTTGCGAGAAGCGTCTTTCCGGTACCTGGCGCACCATAGAGAATGACACCCTTCGGCGGCTTGATACCCATCTCCTCGTACAGCTCCGGATGTAACAAAGGCAGCTCAACAGCCTCGCGCACCTCCTGAATCTGTTGCTCCAAACCACCAATATCCGCGTACGACTCTGTCGGTGCCTTGTCAAGTTTCATGACTGACACTATCGGATCGGCATCGTCTGTGAGTACACCGACTACTGAAACGGACTTGTGGTGCAATAGGATGCTCGCTCCGGGCTCTAGCAGGTCCTTGTCAACGAAAGACATGATGGAGACGTAGTACTCGGGGCCGGTGGCGCTAGATACGATGGCGTGGTCGTCGTCGATGAGTTCCTCTAGGTTGCCGACACCCATGGGGCTGCCTCGCATGTCGTCGACGCGCGAGCGCTCATCAGCGTTTCGGTCTTCGCCGTCCCCGGCGTTGGCAGCAGCAGGCGCGTTGCCTTCCTTGACCGCCTTTGCCTTGCGGAGGCGCTCCTGGTTCTCGACGTACTCCTCCTCTAACAAGAGGTGATCGTGGATTCGCTGCATTCGGAGGTACCGTAGCTTGCATCGCGCAGTTGGGTAGACGGTCGGGAGCTTCGCGGCGGCACTGGGGCCAGCGGCCTTCTTCTTCTTCCTGCCGATGCGGGTTGTGGGTTGTGGCGGTGGCTCGTACTTTGGCTTCTCCTTCTGCAGACGCCGTTGTTAGTATCTGTGAGGTGCGGTGAGGCGACAGATAGCGGACTCCCGAGAGCCATCATTCCGTGTGTTCTGGACAGCACATACCTTGTCTTTCTTGTTCTTATCGTCTCCTGGAGGTCCGCCGCCTCCAGCACTCGATTGCTGGTTACCCTGTATGTCTTTAGCATGTTGCCGTGGTGGCTTCCGATGAGAGGCGATCTTACCATGACACGCGATCAGGTGAGGAAAGGCGAATCGGGCGCTCGACAGTATGAGGGGATTAGAGGAGAGATTACCACAGCGAGGGTGGTGGTAGAGGCGATGGGGGCAGTGAGGCGGTGGTTGTTTGTAAGAGGTGTTGATGCGCTGATTCCGAAGCTCGTGGATGTCGGAGGATCGGGGTTAGCGCCTTGTGGCGTCACTGCCTCGAACCGCTGGAAGCCTCACCATTCCACCTCCATAGAACATCACACACGTCAGGCCCGGTCCGATAGCTATACACTTCTCACTGAGCAACTTATTTCACGGTAACTTCTCCTTCCCCCAAAAGCTTCTCCAAAACTCAAGTATATTTCACTCTCTGAGCTCTGACCCCGCCGGTGAGCCACTCCATAGCTCCCCACGCGGGCTAAGAGGTACTCTCTATCGCAAAAGCTACCAAGACTAGAGTAAGTCTAACCCCATTACAGTCGCTGTTCAGGTGAAGCAAGAAGCCTTTTTCCCTCCTCAGACCCCCAAGACTCTGTATGACACATCCCCGCACCACAACTTAGTGGAGCCCGGATCACGTTGCGGAGCCTCAGGCTGACCCGTCTACCCAGAAGCAACTTGGTTGCGCCCTTCTGTTGCCTGATTCCAATACTTATACAAACGCGCCCCCTTCGATTTCAAGGTCTCAGTCATCATCCACCACAATGACTTCCAACCGTAATCGGCGCATCGCCAAGGAGATTGCCGACATCCACAACGATCAGCACTCCAAGATCGTCGTCGAACCGGCAGGCAACGGGGAAGACCTAACACATCTACGCGGTCAGTTCTTCGGACCGCCTGACACACCATACGAGGGAGCTACCTACCATGTCGACATCCGGATCCCGAGCGAATACCCCTTCCGTCCACCGCTGATGAAGTTCGAGACCAAGATCTGGCACCCTAATGTCAGCTCACAGACGGTAAGGGACAAGCAAAGTTCTAAGGCACGCTTCAAGATAGCTAACAGCACTAGGGGGCCATCTGTCTAGACACGCTCTCCTCGCAATGGTCGCCGGTTCTGACCATCAAGTCCGCTCTGATCTCGCTCCAATCTCTCCTCAGCACACCCGAACCGAAAGACCCACAAGACGCAGAAGTCGCTGGAATGCTCATCCGTAACCCAGCTGAGTTCGAACACAAGGCACGCGAGTGGGCAGTCACGTATGCTGGTGCGCCCAAGAAGGAGATTGCTGAGGGTAGTGGGGGTGCCACCGCTGCGTCCATCAAAAAGAAGGCCCAACAGGCGAAGCAGAACGAAGAGAAGTCAAAACTCGCCGCATACAAGGGCTACAACAAGGACCTGGTCGACCGCTTTGTTGCAATGGGCTTCGATGTCGAAGCTGTTGTTGCTTCGTTTGAGTACGTCGGTATCGATCGTATGGGCGGCGAGGATTACGAGCTAGAAGAGGCCTACATGGGAGACATCACTGCCCGGCTGTTTGGCGAAGCGTAGTAGCCTACTGACATGTTCTCATTCAATCAACCAGCACTTTGCTGACTAGGGTCTATTCTTAAAGTGGAAGCGGGACGAGGACCACGATTCTATGACGGAGCATAGGCGTTCCTCCTTGGCAAACTATTCAAATCTTTCGATTCATTGCAGACGGCGTAATGTCATGGGTTATCATGAGGGTGTGGTGTACATGAGATCATGGGAATAGTATAGTAAGGCGCTCTTCGTGAGTAGCCAAAGTAGTTTCAATTGAAGTTGTTACATTAAACCTCTAGTTCATTGTGTCGTTTGGTGATATGTACAGTCATGTCCTCCTTTTGTATTTACAGGTCTACCGCGGATGTTCATGTTGCGGAGCTTAAGCAATGGCACGGGTGGCATCGAAAATGGCGTTACCCTTGTAGCCCCTGCCATTGCCGCCGGGCTGCATAGTTTGTGTAAGGGGAGCCTCGCCGAAGACGGTCATGGGGTTGGGCTTCTCGATGTTCTGCTGAACCTTGACAGCTGTTTTGTTGTTAGCATATTGTTCGGAAGAACACACATCCTGGTACTTTAAATCCCGGACGCTCGGAGGAGAGGACACTTACTTGTGCCATCGTACTCGTAAGAGAAGGTGTTGGGCTCGCAGCTCTCTGTCTCCTTGGCCCCGTCGGCACCAGGGATGAACTCGTACTTGCAGACGGTGCGAATAACGTCGTCGCCAGCATAGGCGTCCGAAGCAAAATCAGCGAGGACGGTGCGCGACCTATAGCCGTTGGCGGCGCTGTTGCTCTCAATGGTGACGTTCCAGGCACCAAGGTCGGAAGCAGCGTTGGCGGCGGTCGCGGCAGCGAGAGCGAAGAGGGCGGTGGTGAACTGCATTTTGATGGTTGGTTGGGAAGGTTGTTGTTGGTGGTAGTTTTGGTCGGTATAAAATGAGATTGGTTCGATATTGATCTTCAAAAAGTGATGTCGACGACCTCTTATATAAACTCACTACTTCGTATCAAGACGTCAAGGGCGGTCTAAGAGACGTCACGTATACCCACCGCCTCCTGCACCGCCTCGTGTTGGAACCCTAGCATGGGCCTAGGATCTAGACAGTGCGCTCGTATAGAGCACTACCACTGACATTGGGTGAGCGTTTTACCGTTATGTTTACGTTCATCCATGCACAGATGCAGCGGTGGTAAGCTCGGAGGAGCAAGAAAAGCCGACCCACCGGAGCGGATCGCTGCTGGGGTCCGGATGCCGTGGAGATACGACAGTAGACAAGACGGTGTAGACAGTTAGTCTGGTGCTCACTCGCAACTGCGTAGCATTCGTAGGCGGTCAGGTGTAGGGTCGGCTAACTTGCTCCCAGTAGTCTCCGTCTATGCTCGTTTGCTCTTCCACGATTTACAATCTTCTCTTACAGACATTTATTCCGATGGGCAGTCGTGCCATCACCGAAATCTGCTCGCCCGCCAATACACATCGGATGATCCTCACATTGGCGATTGAGATGATTACTCATGGACAACTATTAACAGTACCTCGGTGAGGTAGGTGGAGATGAAAATCTCCGAGCTAGGCTGTGCGCGGAAGTGGCGCCGCATCATGCGTTACTAAATGGGGAAACGACGGGTGTGCCGGACAACACCCATGGCATGCAGGAACACGAAGATTGCGGGTAGAACATGCAGGAAACTTTGGCATATCCCCGCAAGCACCCCTATTCGGTCATTAGCTGCAGGAATGTGTATGAGGAGCAACAGTACAATGTAACCGACTATTCAACATTGATTGAACTATGTATAGTTCTTGATATCCTACTACCTGCCTACGAGCACCCTCTCGCTCTTGCGTGTCTCCGTCGCGTAGTTGCGTTTTTCTCCTGTCACAAGCAGCTGGATGTGGCCCTTTGCTGTAGGCGCATACTTGACGCTTGCTCCTTGTTCGACGCTGAAAGCTTCGCATGCGGGCTTGCTGTTCAAGATCCACTGTGCGGTGAGCTTGACGCCTGGATCCCATCGTCCAACACTTGCAGTAACCTCTTGACCCACCTTAGCCTTCTTGTCCTGGATGCTAGGATCGGCTTGACGCTTGACAGCAGCTTTCCGCCCACCATACTTGATGACATCCTCCCATACATTTCCACGGGTGGACGGTGCAGTGGCAGAAGGAGAAAGCGGCGAAGGACCGTCAGGAGCGTGATCCTTGACCCATCGGTCTACCAACTCGAGGTAATCCCAAATCTCGCGCGCTTGATAGTTACCACCATGAGGTTTCTCAGGTAGGATTGTGACATTGGCCCAACCAGCTCCTCCAACGGCATCGGTGCGCTTCTGGAACTCCATGACACCTTCGTTGAGGAAGTAGTTGTCCCAAGTTCCTACGTAGACGAAAATGCGTCCAGCGAGGGCGGCACCGAGGTTGCGGGAAGAGTTGAAGTTGGTAACGACGTAGTCGCTAAGATCGAACGGCTTCCAGTACTCAACAGCCTCGGGATAGATCTCACCAGTAACCTTGTCCCAGGGCTCGAGAGGATAGTTGTTGTAACCCTGGACACCAAAAACGGCATTCCAGACATCCCATTGATTGAATGAGCGTGACGATGTGCCGAAGGTCAACTCCCAGTGGTTTTCTTGCGCGACAGTGGCGAGAATTACCTCCGTTCCATTAGTGTGAGTGCGGATACTGGGTACAGAGCTACCATTCGCGCGCGTGTATGCGTTGGCAGCACTGTAGAGCTCGATATCCTGGTGACGGTGGAAGTCAAGAGAGTCGGGGTAGGAGGAAAAGCAGACACCAAAAAGATCTGGACGGTAGATGACGTTGGCAATCGACTCCCAACCACCGGTTGAACCTCCATCCTGTACGCGTGCGTAGGGCGCGCGGATGGTGTTGAAGGTGTCTTCGAGATGAGGAATGAGCTCCTCGTTAATAGCGTCACCATAAGGACCCAAGTTTGCTGTGTTGACAGCATAGGAGTCGTCGTAGTATGGAGCTTCATGACGGAATGTTACCATGATGAACTTGGGTGCTGGTCGCTCTGCAGTGGTGTTGGTCGCAGGAATAATACCAGCATCCCAGGCTGCCGTAAAATTTTCATCGTCGCCGTAGTTGTAAGCACCTTCTCCGGCTGGCCAGTGACCTTGGTTGTAGATGACAGGGTATCGTGTCTTCTTATCGTTGGCGTCGTAACCAGCAGGAAGTACTACGTTGGCTCCAACGTACATGTCGCGACCCCAAAACTTGCTCAACTTCTTGCTTCGGATCTTGACATGCTTGAGTGTGTCTGTGTCTTCGTAGTTGCCCTGGTTGCATCCGCCAATCTCCTTGCCAGCGAAATTCTCAACAGCAGTGATGTTGTTGAAAGTCAGTTCGAGAATTTGCCCACTTCCCGATATCTCAATGTCTTGGAGCGTTGTAATCAAACTTCCATATCCATTGACATTAGGCGCGCCATCGCCACATGGAAAACGGATAGAAACTTTCGAACCGTCGCTCCTCGTGACTGTCTCGTAGCGAGTGAGAAAGGCTTGCACACTGTAGGTACCCGGATCGATGTCACTCAAGCTAACATTTGGCCAGCCATACACACCAGTAGCAGTACCGTCGTTGTTCCCGCCTGAGAGAGTGACTGGTTGCTTTGGGCCAAAGTCGTATACATTCTTTCCAAAGATTTTGTTCGGAGAAGAGGTGACATCGGTATCATCGAGAGGATCGGTTCCGTTGGGGGCGAACATCAACAGAATGCGACCATCAGTGGGTGCATCCAGAAGACCATTTGCGACAGAGAGCTTGACACTGAGACTAGTGTCGTTGTCACGTTGGGCGTAATGCTTGGTGGTGGGGACAGCCGACGCGCCCAAGGCGAGTGAAACGAGAAAGAAGGTCTTCAACATCTTGCCTGTATGAACTGTCGTCCAACTCAGTCAAATGCAAGACAATCCTGTCGATTGTGCTTAACCAGACTGCCGGTGGGACGACAAGCTTTTTGATATGAGTCGAAGCTTTGACTGGTGAGTGGTGAAGGCTCTAGCTCGTGGTGTACTAACCGAAAAAAGAAGGCGCAAAAGATAGTATAGCCATATACGGTATGAAAAGATAAGTACCCGCATACAAGGCTTCTCCCAAGCCATGAAATGAGGGTCGGTATTATACATCTCTCGAGTTTTCAGACCGAGATTTAGCAGAGGTAGAACCGTGGTGGTGGTAGCGTGATTCCGCCATACTGGTTTCTGGTTTCGCTTGCGCAGGAACGCGCACGTTATCTCTGGAATTTACGATGGATTCGACCATGTGTGTTTGGTAATTGGCAGTTCTCCAAGTTCGATTGAGATTGTTGGGATACTGTGCGCGCATCTCGAACTCCAAAAAGATCCAGTGGCTAACCGGATTGGGTGAGCAGCAACAGGCATTTGTGCTCCACTCTAAAGTGAAGAGGTCTTCGTATTGATTATGAGTTGATAAAATCTAGGGTTGTTGATCTGGTTTCAAGGCAGAGGGATCGGTATGTCGTAGTCAGAGGGTAGACTATGAGAAGTACTTTCTTGACGTCACCACTCTTGGGAGCCATGTGCGTACCGTACTCTTGACGTAACTTCTTCACCAAACGCTCAAAGCAACACAAACAAAATGACCAACATTATCTTCAATCATGCGAAACTCGGTGCGATAAGGTGTATTCGAGAAACAAATAGCTCGATTGTGAAGATCTTAGGTCTGCCATATGGTAAGATTGCCCAACGATTCTCACGGGCAGAGCTGTCAGAAAGGCTGTCTGATGGCGAAAGCAAACGGTACCACGATGGAGTGTTCGACGCGACAAGACCAGGAGCATCCAGCATCCAGCCGTGGGGTAGCGTCAAGTCCGATGCATCTAACATCCCGTTGCCGACCGATAATCTACCGGAAGACGAAGAGCAATCAGAGGATTGCTTGAACCTCTCCATACACTTGCCAGAGGGATGTGTCGATGGAAGTGGAAAGATGCGTCCGGGTGCAAAGTTACCAGTCCTCGTTTTCATCCATGGTGGCGCATACTTTCTCGGTTCCGCGAATAGACCATACTACAACCCGGAGAACCTTGTGCGTCATGCTATTGAGCACAAGAAGCCTATCCTCTTCGTAGGTATCAATTATCGACTTGGTGCACTAGGCTTTTGGCATTCAAATCGTGCTGGGGATCTAGTACTGGAAAACAATGGTCTCTATGACCAGAACATGGCGTTTGAATGGCTACGCGAGAATATCGAAGGATTTGGTGGAGATGTCGATAATGTTACAGTCATTGGACAAAGCGCAGGTGGCGAAAGTATCTCGGTGCAGACGATGCGTAGGCCGTTGTTCAAGCGTGCGATCATGTTCTCTGGAACGCCCGTTACTATGCCGGCAATGACGCATGACGAGCATCATGACAACTTTCTCAAGCACGCCGAAAAGCTGGATATTCGTATCAAAGAAGACGATGGTAGTGAGAGGGATACTGAAGCTATCGCTAGAGATGTGATTGGCGTCGATGTATCGAAGATTCGAGATCTGGCCTGGGTTGGATTACCGTGCACGAACAGCAAGTTTTTTCCATTTGAACGACCGACGATGGACTTGGCTAGGAAGGGAAAAGTTGCTCCTCCAGATTGGAGAGAGTGGGCGAAACCTGTTGAAGCTCAAATCGTCGGATCCACCACATACGACGGCGGCATCTCCTACAATATGATGAAGAATGATTCCGGCCGCAAGAACCATGCTGAGGCCTTTCGTCGCATCGCTGTGGACGTTCTGTCTTCGGGACATGGCGCGGAGTTGATGGACATCTACGGCATCGAAGGCGTTGCTGATGATGCGGACGCGCTCCAGCGTATCTGTCTTTTCGAAAGCGACATAGGTTTCTTTGCTGCCGCACTTAGCATTGCGGAGAGCGATCTGATCAAAGAGACCTATTTCCATGTCTTTGACCTCCCAGACCCTTTCCCGGGACCGATCCGTGAGCGCGGTGCTTTTGCAACCCATACTTTTGACATCGCAACACTACTTGGTGGTGTGCATGAAGATCGTTTGCCCTCGCATTATCGACCTGTGATTGCCCAATGGCGCAACTCGATCCTGGATTTTGTGGTTAGAGGAACGCCACCTTGTGCGAGATTTGTTGGAAGTGATGGGGAGAGGCGAGGCTTGATGGTCAGCGAAGATGGAGTCAGAGAGGTCGGCAGCGAAGCTTGGATGGAAAATGATGAGAAGAGAAGGAAGAGGTTGTTCGAATTGGCTCAGAGAATTGACGCTGATACTGGGCTGGATGTTCTCTGGGTGGAAATCTGTAGGCGCTTCTTGATGCGTGGGGAGTGAACGAAGAGAGTCGCGAATATGGTGCAGACCCAGGACAGTGCCCAGCGTTTTGGCATCTTGTCATTCCGAAGTATTCGATGTGTGTCTGATAACCTATCATAAGAGATTAAGAAAATTCAGGAGTTTTATTTCGTAACAAAACATACCTAGGAACCTTCCTGCCTATCCTTAAGGATGCTAGCACCTTTCGTCTTGCACTTTGACAGTGGTCTGATTGGCTTTCTGACAACTTTCGGCGCAATCACGCAAGGAACAGATGTTTCTGGGTCGTCATACTCATCGCTTGTCTCGCCTTCATCATCTTGGTCAGTGTTACTACCATCGCTGCTGTCATCAGATGCCTCCACGTTCAGGTCCCAGCCGCCCAACTCAGCGAGCTCACCTTCCAGCGCCAGATCAAGTTGAGGGCTGGATACCTCAGGCACTTGATCTGGTGATGATAAAACTCGCGGCTCAGACACGTGTTCTTCCATGCCGTTGATGCTGACACCACCTGAGTTGTATGGATGGTAGCTGGATGCCCATGAGCTGCACTCAGACGGCGAAGACTGTATCAATGGTGTAGCCGGAAGGTTCTCAGGGGTAAGGCTGCTGATTGAGGCACGCAGGGCGCCCATGTCCTCCATAGCCTTGTCGTATTTCTCTTCTAGTGCCGCTATGCGAGCTTCATGCTGGTGCGCCATGTCGATGGCTTCGTGAAGTTGGCTCTCGCGCGCCGCCATGCACCTCTCAATGATCTCCACTTCGCGTCGTACACCCTTTCTCACGAGCTCCTGGAGCTCTTTCTTGGTCATGCCGATCTCTGGTATAAGTTAGACCTTTCACCTGGAGAGAAACAATTGTGGAAACTTACCTGGGCTCGACTTGGTGGTCATGCCATACGCTGCCACTTTGTAACCGGCGAACACAACGAACATGGCGAAGCTCACGACGAGGGCGAAGGTAAGGAGATCGCTCTGCGGCTCGTAGTACCTTGGTGGGAGGTAGGGTTCCATTTTAGTGTTGGCGGGTGCAGGCTTGTTCGTGCGGATGAGTGTGTAGTGGATTGGGGAAGCTGCTGTTGTAAATATCGAAAGATTTGGTTCTGAATACGAGAAGAGGTTTCAGGGAGAGCGTTTGAGTTGACAACGTTGTCAATGTAAAGGGCAAAGGAACGCACAAATCTTAGCAATAGAGTTCACCTTCACTCTAGCAAACAACTGCTCACCTTGTATGTATGCAACACGATAAGCCTTGGAATACTACCAAACACCATAACTAACTCGAGAACTTTGTGTATTGTGGCCAAATACGTCACCGTCGACTGAGAGCATGGGCTCGGACGCCATCTTGATCAACCCCGCCTTCTCAAGGCATAGTGTCGGGTCGTTCAACTCAGAGGTTCCGGATCTAGCGGTGGCTCGATCTGGAAATGCGGAGAATCGAATCTTTTGACAAAGAGTATCTTAGAAATGAACTGTGGCGACTAGAAACGAAAAGACCTTTAGGGCATGCCATTAGGGTTGACGCTCGGGTGTAATGATCGTTGTGATTGGAACTTAAGTTCTCGATATTACTAGTCTGCTCTTCGTGTTTCACTGAGGGTAGACAGATCCAAGAGGTTCATGTGATAAAGTGAAGTCGCTGGGTTTACAACGGGGACATTTTACGCGTCACGCTAGCATGACTCGTATAACACCATCCGAGACGCGTCGCGACGCCTCGGACATCCGCGTGGAGCTCTTTCCCCTCACGAACCAGCTATCGCCAATATGTCCTATCGCTCGATGTTATACAGCTATCCCGAAAACGCGTTTGAATTATGGACACGATGGATGTTCTATGATGATAAATCGTGGAACGAATTAGTTCTCATTTTCACTCGCTCGTAATCTTTGAAGCTACCTAGCTATGCGTAGTAAGATAAAAGTGCCCTCTCAAAGCTCCGCCTCAAACTCTTCTATAACGAGAAGCAACGCTTCGTAAGACCATACGCTTTACTCAGCATACCAAAAATCGATACTGGGACAGATTCCATCGCGTATCATAACGTCCCAGCAGATCAACTCTGCCCTGTCACGTTCTGCTCCAAGGTCTCATCATGTAACAGTGTAATCATGGCGCCTGCATACTACTGCCGAGCGAGAGCCTCCTGCAACAACAGAGCGCCTACGTACGAAGCAAGCGGCCCCGAGTCGCCTACAACGTCTAGCTGTTCGAGCCACCCTTTGATCGATTGCACTGTATCTCAGCTGACATCTCGAGATGCCAAACTCAAAAGTAGAAGAGACGACCATCAAGAGGCTGCTGAAGAGTCCAAGGCCTTCTATAAGAAGCTTCGAGCAGAAGGCCGCGCTTTTTTCAGACCTGTTTGCAGATATACATTGGTCGGCTATAGACTGATCTGAGATCATAGAATCAGCTACACCAACCACGAACGACACCAAACAACCATGAACACCAATTTGCAAGCCTTTCTGCCGTTTGATGTTCGAGTGTATCATCGGTCTCGTTACCCCGCATTCCGATAGCATGTCGAACTCATATCTCACTTCCTTGACGTGTCCGGACTAGCGTTTTGAACCTCACCGTGAATTGATATCACTGTATCTTTTCGGCCTCACCACCTCCGCGTCTCTTTACCTCTGGACATCCAGAACATCCCCAAATTAGCTATAATCAACATGAGCTACCCCAGAAAGCGTTTTCCGCTGGATACCTCGCAAGAGCAGATGCAATATCATAATCGTATTAAGGGATGGTTAGAGAAGTTAGAGAGCAGGGACCCCAAGGCAGATGAAAGCGAAGGCCACCAAATTTCCCAAGATAAGATACGGGTTTTGGAACCGACGACTCCAACAAAGCAAACAAGCGCACGTCCGATACGGGACGAGGTTTCGCCCACTGATACTACGTTCTCGGAGTCGAGCATCTTCGATAGGCCTCTCCGCAAGGGCTTGTTTAGCAGCCCAACTCCGAGATGCGAGACACGAGGTGACGATTCTGATACCACGAGCATCGGTAGTGACGATTGGGAGCTAGCAACCAAGACTAAACGCCCAGCTGAGCGACTGGTACCACCCACCTTTTCTCTACCACCGAGCGTGCCATCACCCAGTCTCGACTTCTCCGTTTCGATTTCGGATGCGGATACCGGCGAGCCTACGACGGTTTCTGATCCCAAAGCTCAATTGCCTCTTTCGACACAAGAACCAAACGAGCCGCGACCTGTTTGGATTACCTCTTGCCTCCAATGCATACTCGCCGGCCTCCCATGTTCAAGGACCTATCCATCCTGTAACAGGTGCAAGCGGAACGACTGCGCTGAAGAATGTCTACTCCATCGCCGGTGTTTCGTTTCCGAAACTCTCGATCTTACCGAAGCAGGAGGCTGCAAGATTCCCATTCTGCTCAAGGTGAAAGGCGAGAGGGACGAAATCTGGAAGCGAAAGGTCGAATTGGCTGAGGATCTGTGCAAGGAATGGGTTGCGGAACAAGAAAAGAGGAACTGGGTGTTGCCAGGCATCGACAGTCCGAGGGGTGGATGGCGCACCCGCCGGGGCAAGGTCAAGAAAGAGATGATGTTACATCCTGGTGAAGGGATTGGACGTCTGTCATTTTGTGAATTGATCGTCGACTCAGATGTTTGAGAGCGCTTGGAGACCTTTAAATTTGTCGACGCTGTCTTCATCACGAACCTTCTGGTCGCATGTCTTTTCGAGCCTTCATTGTAGCATCGGAGGATGGCATGTGATCAATGGGAAGGCTTCTCGTTCAATGGTGAACAATATGTATCGGATGTGAGAAGTTATATAGCGGCACCGTCCAGCGCAAAGCTCCGTATCAGCAATCTCGGATTATGTTGCAGACGAAGAAATAATACCCATATATACAATCTTTATGAGTGCATTCGCACTGTACTACTTTATCACTCAGTGTCTGTAAGATGATCTCCGGACCAGAACAAACCCTCACAGCTTCGCTCCGCCTTTACCTTCCCTCATCAACTCTTCAATCGCGATCTCACTCGTCATGAGAATGCATGTATCTCTCAGACTGGGCACGCGATGCCTATGGTTGACCTCTTGATAATCCTCACTCGCCAACATATCCCTAAAATGCAGGATACTAGGATAATGCGCCAGCGCAATCTCATCCCAGTCATCTTTTCCGCCACCCACTTCACCGTTGGTACCGACACTGCTGTTCGAAGACTTGGTAATAGCCGAACCGTTGACGTGTGTCGCGTTTCCGACAATCTTTGCATTGCCGCCGTGCTTCGAACCGATCGATTTAGCGAATGCGGCACCGTATTTTAGGTATTCTTCTTTCATCCCGGGGTTGAAAGCGAGGAGGTTGAACATTGATACTGCGCCTTTGCCTTCTTTAGCACCGCTGTTGACGAAGGTCTCGATCCATTTGTTCAGCTCATCGCTGAGTTCCAGACTTTGGCTCGACTCAGTGGTCTTATTGCTCTTTTTTGTTTGGACTTCAGGCACGGAACTTGGATCTGGATGTAGAAGCTTGTTGTTCTTCGATGGGAAATCTTGGACCAAACGAGATGGTACTCCGGCTGTTACGCTCCAGTGGTGTTGGGCCAGTTTCTCGAGCTCTGACGGAAGGGCATCGGTGCTAGGTAGAATGAGTAGGAGATCCCAGTGGATGTTCCTAGCAAGGAGATGTTCGGTCGAAAGCTTAGAAGGAAGAATGATCCAACGTATGACGCGTGAGACTACGAGAGGTGATAGGTTTGTGGACTTGAGTGTTGACAGGAAAGTCAGGACTGGGTTAGGTGTGGTGCTATGAAGAGCAAGTAGGTGAAGCGTACAGAGAGGCATTTTGGTAGCAAACGAGTTTAATCGGTCATGCCAGAAGATCAGTTTTGTCGACTTAACAACGTTAGATGGTAATCCAGACGTGACAATGGTGTTTGTATGGTTAGGTGATGACGTAAATTGCGTCTACTTTACCGAGGCTCAATCGTGAGGAGCTGCGAGGCCTCGGAGACTAAATCCAGCGACAAAGCTTAAAGGCTTCTGTGCGCGACTACTTCACTGGCATATTTAGCATAGCTCAGCAGATATTGAAGCTTGCATATAACAAGGTAAGTTTCCAGAAGCGCGTGCCCCACTGCGGGGCATTGCGCCAGACAGGCGTAGATGAAGGCTATTCAGATGAAGGCTATTCGAATGAAGGCTACTGCTTAGCTAATTGTCGATGATTAAGCACCAAACAATACTTCGACACTCTTCTATGGATTGTAGAGCTCATGGTTGTTGTTGGTATGCGTACAGTAAGCACTGTAGCCTTGCATGAGCAAGGCGCTTGTGTTTGGGTGGATAAGTCCTTAGCAGCCACCGGTACACATCTGTGACGTACGTTCCTGCTAGCTGTGGATCTATAAGCCCACACGATTTCAAAGCGACAGCAGCCTGGTGATTCCAACATATATTGTCACTCCAAGCAACAGTTTTTTTAACCTCTGCTTCGTCTTCTCAATACAATCACATCAACGCTCCAAACATGCCAAAGCTCTTCATGTAAGTCTGTAAGATACCTCATGCAAGCACATGTGGACCACCAACAATACTAGGAAGCATTAAGGTTAGCATTTAGATACTAACAAGGTTCAGCACAGGTGCCACCGGCTACATCGGAGGTGATGCCCTCTATGCAGTTGCAAATGCCTACCCAGACCTAGAGATCACTGCACTTGTTCGCAACAGCGACAAAGGAGCCAAGGTTGCCGCGCAATATCCAAAGACTCGACTTGTGTACGGTACGCTTGACAGCACCGAGTTGCTCACCACCGAGGCTTCAAATGCAGACATTGTTCTTCATTGCGCCGACTGCGATCACGTAGCCGCTGCAAATGCTATCGTTGCCGGACTTGCTCGAAGTGGAAGGAAGACATACCTTATTCACACCTCTGGAACTGGTGTCTTGTCTTTCCCGGATATTGAGAACAACACCTTTGGTATCAAGCGAGAGAAGACCTTTGATGATTGGGACAACATTGGTGAGGTCACTTCAATCCCTGATGTAGCGCTCCACCGCAATGTCGACAAGATCATCCTCGCATCGAACGAGGTATCGGCAGGCAATATCCAGTCTGCTATCGTCTGCCCACCGTGTATTAATGGCCCAGGACGTGGTCCCGACAATCAAAGGAGTGTGCAGATATATGATATGGCCAAGGTAGCACTGAAGCGTATGAAAGCTTTCGCTGTTGGTGATGGCGACAACATTTGGACTCAGGTCCACGTCCAAGACCTCAGCGAAGTGTTCCTGGCACTGGTAACGGCTGCTCTCTCACCAGATGGTGGAAAGGCGACCTGGAACAAGGAAGGGTATTATTTCGCTGAGAGCGGAGAGTTCCGCTGGGGTGATATCAGCAGCAAGATCTCTGAGGTCGCATTCAAGAACAAGCTCATCAACCATGAAGGCGTCGACAACGTGAGCAAGGAGGAGGCTGACGAGCTGAGGCCAGCGGGCAGCTACCTTTGGGGTGAGTCACGCTATGCTTGGGAATAGGACACATGCTGACATGCTCCAGGCACCAATTCTCGCTGCAAGGCCATTCGAGCCAACAAGCTGTTCGGTTGGACCCCTAAGCAGAAGAGTGTGTTCGATCTGATGCCAGAGATCCTCGATGCTGAAGCGAAGGCGCTTGGTCGCACTAGGACACATGCCGAGGAAGCTGCTGAGGGGCGCATCTTGAAGTAGTCGCATACTGGACTAGGTTGGCTGTGTTGAGAAGTTCAGCAGATATCAAGGTATCTGACAAGTTCAGCTATGTATTAGGCAACAAAATGCAACACGTGACTGTTGAAGTTGGCGCATGCCTGGGCGCTGTATCTAAAGCAAATGCACGTTGTCGATGAAGACAAAGTATAGAGGCCGAACATGCAAAGAATCGTGGTTGATGTAGAGGGGTTGCGGAGGGTGCCTTGGCGGCGTCATGTTCCTGAGCTCTCGCGCTTGAGCCACGTTCCTAGCTTGGGCCGACCAACGACCGCGTCGACATGGAAGAGCAAGCCACACGACGACTCTGATAATCTACGGTCACAAGTTCATAGTGGCTTACAGGCAATTCCTTCGCGACCATGGATATCATACAAGCCGTCTCCGGCTACATCACCAAGATGGTGTCGGTCGGGGACACCGCTGCGACAGGCACCTCCGCGGCCAAGATGAAGATCCTCTTACTCGACAACGAGACTGTGGGTTTGTCTCCTCTACCAGGTGCTCTTACACACGATGCTGACAGTTGCAAGGTGCCTATTGTTTCCACGGCGACGACACAATCCGCCCTCCTCAACCATGAAGTCTACCTTACTGAGTACTGCGCCCTCATAATGCACCATGCGATGCACGGCTAACACGTCGGTAGCCGTATCGACAACCCAAAGCGGGAGAAGATGCGCCATCTTCGCTGCCTATGCTTTGTGCGACCGTCCCCAGAGTCTATACAGAGCCTGATAGAGGAGCTGCGGGAGCCCAAGTATGGCGAATACAACATCTGTACGCGCTTGGAGGAACGCAAAGCCACCAACGATTGCTGACACGTACAGACTTCAGCAACATAATAAAAAAGTCCTCGCTGGAACGCCTCGCCGAAGCAGACGACCACGAAGTCGTACGCGCCATCCAAGAATACTTCGCCGATTTCCTCGTCATAAATCCCGACCTCATGTCCCTCAACCTCGGCTTCCCGGACCATAGGATATGGAGCACAAGCCCGGACTCGTGGAATCAGGACGCACTACACAGGTCAACAGAGGCAGTCATGGCGCTGCTTCTGTCGCTGAAGAAGAAGCCTTTGATAAGATATCAGAAGAACAGTCTGCTTGTGAAGAAGCTGGCGACCGAGGTCCGATACCACATGACACAGGAAGAGCAACTCTTCGATTTCCGCAAGACTGATACTCCGCCTATCCTTTTGATCGTAGACCGAAGGGACGATCCCGTTACCCCGCTATTAACGCAATGGACATATCAGGCTATGGTTCACGAGCTACTCGGAATACATAACGGACGCGTGGATCTACGTGATGTGCCGGAAATTCGTCCCGAGCTCAAAGAAATTGTGTTATCGCAAGATCAGGATCCCTTCTTCAAGAAGAACATGTATCTCAACTTTGGTGACCTAGGACAAAACGCGAAAGAGTACGTCGAACAGTTTGCATCAAAACAGCAGGGATCGCAAAAGCTCGACTCAATTGCCGATATGAAGCGCTTCATCGAAGACTTTCCCGAGTTCCGTAAGCTCTCCGGCAATGTCACCAAACATGTTACACTCGTTGGTGAGCTGAGCAGACGAGTTGGCGAAGAGAGTCTGCTGGACATCAGTGAGCTCGAACAGAGTCTAGCATGTACAGACAATCACAACAACGACGTCAAGTCGCTACAAAAGATCATCCAGGACCCCAGGGTTCCGGCGAACAACAAGCTTCGCCTCGTTGCCATCTACGCGTTACGGTACTCAAAGGCGTCTTCGAATTCGACAGCCATGCTCCTAGACTTGCTCGCCGTTGCGGGCGGACTGTCACGGCATCGCATCAATCTTATCACAAAGCTACTGACCTACCATGACTCGCTACAAGCGACTACGGCAGCAGGTGGGGTACCGGACCTGTTCCAGCCTGGATCCTTTTTCGGGGGTGCCCGAGATCGACTCAAGGGCCTGAAGGGTGTTGAGAACGTCTACACACAGCACTCGCCTCGCTTAGAAGCTACGTTGCAAGACATGATCAAGGGTCGCTTGAGCCAGCAGCTGTATCCCTTCGTAGAAGGTGGCGGCTCGACCAAAGATAAGCCGCAGGATATAATCGTCTTCATGGTCGGCGGCGCGACATACGAGGAAGCCAAGATGGTTGCGCAAGTCAATGCAAGTTCGCCTGGTATTCGCGTTGTGCTCGGTGGAACGACCGTGCATAACAGCACCTCCTTCTTAGAGGAAGTCGAAGATGCCGTCGACTCGTGGCCCGAGCCTCCCGCTACATCAGCTGCGGCTCGCTTGAAGAGGGAAGTAGGTAGATAGCTGATGTAGTCTTGCGCAAGTACAATCAAGGTCCTGGAGTTGGGCGTCGAAGCGAGTGGCATGATATGCAGGTTCAGGCAATACAGGTCGATAGGCTTCCCATGTGAATACAACCAATATCCCAATAGTGTTCGTCAGCCAAGTACGCAATGAGTGCAGCAAAGTGCATGCCCCGCGCTAAGGGTCGAGATGCATCCCACCAAGGCCCACATCATTCGTTTCAAGCCGGCCCTGGATAGCAGCGCTGACCTATGGCCCGTAGTCAATAAATCAGTTGTTGGGCGGTACCTGCATGACTCCGAAGGCGGCGAAAAGTCTGCTAATCTGCTCAGAGCCAAGAAGACGCGACAAGGCTGAACACGTGCATCATCACCAGCTGGTGTTATAGGCAACACGGTTCCCTTACGGGCCGACATCCGATCGCTCTCTCCACCATCAGCCTCAGCCACCTTCCCAACATCACCCACATATGGCGCGAAAATGAGGATTGCGAGACATGCCAGAACAAGGACAGGTCTTGCAGTCTCGAGTGGTCCGCCGGAGAAATCCACGCCCCATCAACAGCTGCGTTGAATGTCGAACCCGGAAGTCGCGATGTTCCAAAACCCATCCTTGCCAGAACTGCACAGCCTTCGGACGCGAGTGCGTCTTTATTACCGTTCCTGAGAGCGCTGCACGCAAGAAAGAAAGGGAGCAGCGAGAGCGCGCGCAGAGCAAGAGCGGCACTGGTGTTACCATCCCGGACTGGACCAAGAATCTCCCCGTGCGCACACAGAGTAGTGCGAGTGTACATGATGGATACGACAATGCGGGATCCGTTGACACCACGACGCCTGGCACGCCGCCACGAGATTACGAGTGGGAAGCCTATCAGCAAGATGTCGAGCCCGAAACGGATGCTTGGGAGAGACTGCCCGCAGAGCCTGAAGAGACGCAGGACGACGTGTATGAAGACGAGAACGACGACGAAGATCAGATCGCAACTGATCTCACGATTCGAATCGGAAGGATGATCATTTGTGAAAACGTCACTGGATTTTTCCGTCCCCAATATGCCGAAGAGGTACTTTCTGCCCTGTCCATGTGCTTTATCTCGCATTTGCATTGCCTTTCCATGACCGCAGACTGAAACGTTGTGTAGCTCGGCAAGCTTCTGTCTGAGAGCTTCACGCCTTCTTCATCAGTCACAGGCCAAAGAGCGACACAGTCATCTGCTCTTCTATCAGCAGAGCAGATGCCGTCGCTTGCGCCGTCGCTGAATCTGTTGCTAGGCGGTTCGCTGCCTATACATCAGAATAACGAAGTTGAGGCGCCACAACTGCCCACCAAGATGGAGGCCGAGGGGCTACTACAGCGGTACACGGAAGCCGTTAGCCCGCTTGCGCACGTGTTGCATCTTCCATCGTTCAAGCGCATGTTTGATCGCTTTTGGATGAACCTTGAAATTGGGAGCCCCAACCAGAATTCCTGTACTGCCTTGATACTGGCAGTATGTATGGCTGCCGCTGCTTCTGTTTCACCGTTACAAGCCAAGTCGCAGTTTGGGATTACGAAAGAGGATCTTTTCCTGCGCCTACAAAAAGCTACGGAGCGGGCATTGCTTCGCGCTAATTGGGCGAAGACATCTAACATACGGACTTTACAAGCTTTGACAATCTACCTGGTACGATATCGAACTATCCTGAAAGTACTCTTGCATACTAACATACGCAGATACCACTCTGCCGGGCGCAAATATCGCGGGCTACTTCTGTTGTAGTTGGCGCATTGGTCCGCCTGGCACAATGCATAGGCATACACCGTATGAGCCACAGCTCGGCCAATAGTCTAACACCACTGCAACGACATGTTCGGTCGCTCTTGTGGTATCAGATCTGTTTCTTGGACTTCAAGACAGCAGAAGCGCAAGGACCCCATCCTTCGATCCGGTCGGATGACTTTGACATTGCTCTTCCGTTGAACGTAGATGACGATGTCTTTGAGTTTGGCAGCCCGAAGTGGCAGCAAAATCCAACCTCCAATACCGGCTGGTCAGACGTCACATTGTCGTTGATACGCTACGAGTGCAATGAGATACACCGACTCATATTCCGCGGCAGGATTGAGATGGATCGCAAACACATTACCCTCCATGATCTCCGCGCCCGCGTAGAAGCCAAGAAACGCCAGATCCAGAGCAAATACCTCCAATATCTGGATGCCAACGTGCCTATTCAACGATACGCAGGCCTAGTTGCGACACTCCTAATGTCCCGTTGTGACTCTATGCTCCTATACCGCCACCTTCCACAAACCTCCTTGCAACCCCGTTCGGAATCCGAGAACCGCCTTCGCGACGTCCTCCTTACCGCAGCGCTCACCACACTTGAAATCGGTGCAACACTAGACACACTGCCCTCTCTCTCCTCCTGGGCTTGGTACTCGACCACCTACCAACAATATCACGCGGTCCTGCTTCTCCTCACCGAACTCTACCGTACACCCGATCTGCCCCGGAAAGAGCGCATGGCGACCATCATCGACCACATCTTTGGCCACTGCTATGGCGTCGGTGTAAGAGAACGTTGCTCAGATCTCCTCTTCACTGTAAAAGAGAACCTAGAAGCCTTTTATGTAATGAAGGGTTTCAACAAGAAAAGGCAGCAGGTTGCTCCCCAACAGCATCCCACACTTCAACCGTTACCCTCCTTTGGTGGCTCGGTGACTAGTCCTGGATTCGGTGCGCAGCAGACGCCGAATAATAACATTCACAGTCAATTGCAGAGGACGCCCACAACGGGCACACTAGATGGGTTGAATGTGGATTTCGATAGTATACTTGGTAGCCTGAATGGTGGTGGTAGTGGTGGCGGTGGCTCGGACCAGGACTTTGATGTTTGGGGCGGAATGAACGGTGGTGCTGGTCAAGATACGGGTGCTATTTTTGTGCCGGTGGATACTGGGCATCATGGCGAATTTGGAACTACGAGTCCGAATGGGGGGCTACAGCAATGGGTGAGTGAATACTTTGGTCTGGTGATGGAAAGTTGATTGTGCTAACGTCCATGTAGGAAAATTGGAATTTCCCACCTCAACAGGCGAAATACGAACAATGATGGAGCGTGTACGAGACACGGAGTACGATAGTGTTTACGAAAGGCCCACAATTCTTGAGCGGCCGAGGTATGGATAACCGGCCTTGACTTGTTGAGTAATAGACACGAATTGCTTTACTTTTTTGGAAAATCGCTTTCGTATCGATGTTTCGCCTACAGCTGACATCCATCGAATGCATACATTGGAATTCACTCAATCGCTACAGTTGTGTAAAAGAGGTAGATTTAGAGGTAGAGGCCTAGCATGAATGCTACAGTTGAACTTGTTTCGTGCATAACAGGTGCTCGCTGAGAAATGCTCCACCCAACCCCAAAAACGCCGCGGCACTGATATTCAATGAACCCGCAAATGTAACGCCGCATACGCCAGACCGCACTGCGGTCGATAACGCAGACCCAGTTTTCTGCCAAGTGAGTCCTGAACAACATGTCGACACGTCTCATATCAGTATTACCAACTAGCAACTCTGATAGAGGAAGACATGGGTTCTACGAACAAACTCATTAGCCAAGAAGAAGACGAAATGAAGATGAAAGCGGGCTAGTAGCGTGCTACTTGAGATTCACTCAACGCACTTCGCTTCATTGGTGGTGGAGGTGGCGGCGGCTTCTTCGCCCTTGATGGAGGTGGTGGCGGAGGTGCCTTCTTGCCATTGCTTCCCTGTCCCTGCTCGCTCGCTGTCCAGCTCGCTGCCCGCGACATGTTGCCACCGCGTCCACTGCCTACAGATGACGACGTATCGGGACTGGGCGGCGATCGATCACGCCTGTATCCATTTCCGTTAGATCGCTCATAATCGTCCTCGTAGTCATCAGCAAAAGTGTTCTGTTGGCTAGCACTAGCCTGGCGGACTGGGCGGAGGTTGGTACGGCCGGAAGATATGACAGAGGAATCGGTGGGGACGCGGGACAGTCGGCGGGCAGGGGAGTCGTCTCGGTAGCCATTGGCGTTATCGTAGGTCGAGGTTCGGCTAAGAGAGGGGCGTAGAGAGTAGCCACCTGGCGACTGCTCAGGGCCAGGGGAGCGGCTGCGCGTGGACGTAAGCTTGGGAATAGTCATACGAGGGACTTCGGGCTCGGGTTCTTCTTCGACCGGGTTGAAGCGCTCTGCATAGCCGTGTGCAGTGTTGGATCGGGAGCGCGCGGGACGGCTAGGAATAGCCCTGGTGTCTCTGTGTCATGCGTCAGCAATGTACTAGGTCTTACGCTGATGGAAAAGTCCTCACCGAACCGGCCACTCCCGCTTGACGTTGAGGAGGATCTCACGACAGCGGTCGTAGTAACTGAGCTCTGCCTCGAGGAAAGCGGTCAGGTCCTGGACCATGTCGACTTCTGACTCCTTGATGTCCTGCATCCTTCTGAAGACCTCTTCGCTGGTCTCCTCGTATTTGGCCTTTTGGGCGCGTAGTTCCTCCTCCATGCGGAAGTCTTCCTTCTTCGTCTTCTGCATCTTGGCTAGAGAGGTATCGTAAGCCAGACGACGCGTCTCGAGCTTCTTGCGGGTGGACTGAGGCCAATTAGCTTCAATGGTTACGATCATGTTCATGCAGCAGCTGTCCTACCTGATACTCTTTCATTTGGATCAACGAGCGCTCAAGACCCTCGAGCCATGATGACGTAGCACTTGCGACATACGTCTCCTGCACTCGCGCCAGACGTTCGTTGGCACGTCCCAGTGCTGCTGATAGTTAGTGGGGTGTAGATGAGCCGATTGATCGCAAGACGTACAAGATAAGCAATTGCCAAATTCCGAGTCGGGCTCGAAGTCCTCGCCGTGGGTGACCATGGACGAACCCAAATGGCCACCTGGAAGCTGCTTCTCCTTGTCGGCGCCCTCTGCGCGCTTGGATAGCGATTTGACATAGACAGCCATGGCGGCCTGCATCTTGTCCATACCTACAGACGTGGTCAGCATGCGAGACAGGAGCTGCAGGGCTCGGATTCGTGCATACCCTCATGACGCAGGTTCATTTCTACCTCGAGCGCCTTGAACTCGTCGGAGAGCCCAGTGCGGGCCTCTGCGCCCATCTTCTCGTTGGTCCATTGCTTCAAGCGATCGAATTTCTTGGTGACATTCATGACTGCGGTCGTGTGTGAGGAAACGCAGTAAGGAAGCGTGGTACAAGCAGAGTGACGAGGGGGGCTGCGGCGTGCGTAATAAGATATGGGCCGTGTGCAGGGTACAGCTATCGATACGGGCCAGGGAGGCAGGCGCGGGACGATCAACACCCAGCGACAGACACGGAGAAAGGGGAGCAGAGAAGAAAGGAGGAGGCAGATTCGCCGCGGGCAAGAACAATAGTTGAAGTCAGGAGAGTAGGTTTCGCAATAGTGGGCGACCTACGGCAGAAGTTGAGAGCCAACGCGTGTCAATATCGCAGGCTAAGCAGGCGCGACCCTGACCCATTGTTCCAGAAACCACAGACCGTCTAGGTGTCTCCAACGGTGATCAGCGTCGCCCAAAGACGCGGCCCAGCCAGTCCTGACATGGGCGGGACGACTGTCGCTATTCCGGGGTTTGCCGCCCTAAGGCCTTTCCGCCGGCGCTCCGTCTACTCACCACAGCCAACCCACCCACTATCGCCCTCTGTAGGCATGCCCTCCGTTTCACCCGCCCTGCCACACATTGCATCCAACTTGCTACCGCAGACCGTCCCCCTCGTTCTATTCTTGGCACAGTCCATGTCATGGTTTGCGCAAGCAAGCGCAACATGATGGATGTGCAGTTTCACCGTCGCCACCCGTACCAATGAAGCGTCCCTCTTAGCTGCTCTCTGTCCTCTGCGCAAGTCACCGAGCAAATCACCGGCATCAGCAGTAGGCTCCTACTCGGTTTGTCTCCCTATCGCGCGCCGCCATGGGATTTACATGGACCTACAGAAGCGCATGTTGGTAGTCTAGTGCGCCTTCCAGACTCCTCAATATGCAGCCAGGAACAACGCGAACTCCAATCTCCTTCCCTTATCAGGTCAAGCGGTCTTGTCTTGCAGGCGCAATATATCACCTGGCCTCTGCAATCGCCGCGACAGAGCTGAAAAGCCTACCTCTATATCGTTGAACAGCCTTGGCATATGCGGTCAATGTAGTCGCTATCTCCCCTCGATCGACTCACGGCGAATACACACTCCATCACAGTCCCAGCGTCTGCCCACGTTGCCTTGCTTTCCTCAATTCCTTTTGTGTAAGTTGCGACCATGATCGGAGAAAAAGGAGAATATTGAGATGATCCAATACTGGCTCTGACATCATCGTCTAACTGCTCGCCCAGCAGTGCATAGTGCCGCACGTGACCTGGTAAGCGCCATCTTTTCTGCTTGGGTGGAACACCAACCTCAATTTCGCATCTCTACTCAGCCAAGTCAACACCACATCACCTGCGCTATCGCGTTCCTTTGTAGCAAGTTTCATATGTCTTTTCTGGCGCATCTTTGAAATGGCCTCTTTTTCTTCGTCCTACGAAGTCTCTCTCTCACTCGGTCCTACATAATCGGAAATAGTTTCTTTCTGATTACGACACACGCTTGCGCAATATTCTCATTGCTAAGGCAGATGTTGTCATCATGTATGTGACAGGGAGTGGGCAGATGTGCGCTGCAACTTCAGGATTGCGCGGGCTAGTTCCAAGTTCCGACTAGAAGCCCGACGCATATGTGCACACCTGCAGCCAACACCGATCTATTTACGCACCCGGAGAAACACCCTCTTCGGCAGGCTCACTCTAGAACATCATTTCTCAATGTTTCGCTTCATGCCGCTCATGCGGGTTATGAAGATGTCAAGAGAAGGACCCAATCAGTAGGGGTTCATGTGCCATTACAAGCATTACCAAGATACCCGCGCAGGATTCCACGCTCTTGTTGCGATTTGCCTATGTGGAGTTGTAAAGCATTCTCCGCATGACCGGTGGTCTCGAGGGTTCACCTGCCCGATCAGCAAGACGGCCCTAAACATGAACACTAACGTGCATTGATGCGCTATATAGGCAACGGAGGCCTACGATATACACAATCCCATCAGGACAATCGCATCTCCACGTCTAGTTGTACATTCCGGGATAAAAAAGGTTTGCGAAATGATACAGGGCGCAAGGCTGATCTCAATGGATACAAGGTATGCTCAAGCTACCATTACTTCGTATCGTGGAACTCTTGAACCTCGGCAGGCCGTGTTCACAAGGCAGACCTCAATAAAGCAGGTTCTGGGATAACGGATGAAGAGCGACGGTAAAATTGATAGCTTTCCTTTCGCTCTTGTTTCGCCCTATGCGAATCGAAACACAATTGCAGCACTACGCGAACATCAGGTCTATAGACAAACGATACTCTCAGAATACAAAGTTTGCCCTGACTGCACCTCTCCTTTCTCGTTGCTGTCTACCCGACACTCGCTTTACCAAACAAAGGTGCTCTGGGTGGCCATTCTCATTGTCTTGATTACCCCAAAGTTACAGGGATCCATATAGTCGATCTCTGTGCTAGCGAAAGTAGCATTACCTCATGCCTGCCTAACCGTGCTCTGTTCGTAGTTCTCTCCTCGTCCCGCAACTGCAGCCGCAATTACAACCACCAACATCAACCCCCCAAACAACCGCAACCATGGCCGACTCAGACTCGTCTCTGTCTTCTGCGCCCCCGACTGACGATGAGATGGAGCTTGAAGTCCCAGAGGCTGCTGCTGCGAAGCCCGCACCTCAGAAAAAGAAGAAGAACGGCACAATCCTGACCTTTTTCAACAAACGTTCGCCCTCGCCGCCTCCAAGAAAACGGGCGCCGTCCCCGCCGCATGAGCCTGTACCAGAGGACAATCCAGACATTGCTGTACGTATTGGACGCGTCCGTCGCGTCGTGACGCGCTGCATTGCGCCGCAGTCGCGCACGACTCGTCCGCTCAGGCGTCGCTAATGCCATGTGCCATAGTTTATCGTAATGTTCCGGTCACGTTTCAACGAAGCATTCCCTCGCGGTTCCCCTTCTGTAGGGCCTCAGGACATCGAGCAGGGTGTCGCGGAAGACACACCGTCCGCCGACGTCGAAGGCTTACTATGCGCCTTGCTCGGCCTCGTCCTCAATCGCAAGAAACCTGTCGAGTCAGTCTGACCCCTTCGCTCTTCACAAATACCCGTTCCGCGGTCGCGTGGGCGTCACACAGTAGATGGAATAGTGCACAAGCTGACACGTGTGTGTTCTACAGGAAGGGTCATTACGGTCGCGCTCTCGAGGAAGCCATCCAAACCCAAAAATCGCAATGGCCCACCAAATGGACTGGCAATCCCCTCAGCGGCGGTCGCAACTTCAACACAATGACGGCAGTAGAGCGAGTAAGTAGTCATCTATCCTGATACCGCCAAATGCTTACCGTCGCATAGATCACCCTCCTCCACTCACTCTGCCTCTGGAGCCTCAATCAAAACGAACAAGTCAAGGCCATGATCAATAACGCATACAAGTCTCGCACTACCAAGGACAAGCAAGATACCAACATCCCATTATCGGTGCAAGCATGGGGCCGTGATGGTGACAAGCGTCGATACTATCTAGTCGAAGGACAAAACGATACCCACTTTCGCATCTACCGCGAGACCGACCCGAGCCGCAAGAACGTACAATGGATCAGTGTCGCCGGCTCCATTGATGAGTTGAAGGCGCTTGCGACGAAGCTGGAGGAAGTAGATGGGCACAAAGAGGCTAAGGCACTTGGCGAGCGTATGCTTAACGCCGTGCCACGATTCGAGGCCTCAGAAAATGTACGCCTCGTCCATTCTACAAGTCATCCTATGCTAACAGTCATTTAGAAACGTAAGCGACGAGAGTACACACGCCAGCGCAAAGATGCCTTCACCCGCCCAGAACCTGGTTTCTCCCTATATGAAGGCCGCACCCGTGGCAAGCGCCAACGATACACATTTGACGAAGACAACGACTTCGATTCAGACAACACCTCCGTACGCCGATCAGGGCGACAGTCGGGCCGCGACACACCCGCTGCACCTTCTGGTCCTACTGTCACCGCCAGTGGTCGACAGGTCCGATCTCGAGCAACCGGTTTATATGGCGAAACATTGCTCAGTGGACAAATTGCAGACCATGCATCGCCTGCGACTGGCGACTATGTCAGATCTGATGTGTCGGAAGAACCATATTCAGGCCATGGCCGATCGACTCGCGCCGCCAACAGGGGTACCACAAACGGTCGTTCATTCAACCGAACAGTAGATTCGGAAGACGAGGAGGACGCGACCTCTTGGGATGGTGGAGATGACGATGAAGAGGAGCCAGATCAGATGGATCTTGACGACGACGACGACGAAGACGATGCCGTGGAGGAATCGGAAGAGGAGGAAGAACAACACAGCCTCATGGTCACTCTACGCTACCGGAAAGGTGCATCTGATGGCGCTCCTGCTCATGAAGAAGATGCGCCCATGACAAATGGGGTGGATCGCGATTCTATTGCTGCGACAGTCGCGTCGTCGACCAGCACCAGCGCACCAAAACAGCCTGAGCCTGCGCCTGCATCTGCAGGTACTATGAACGGAATCTCTACTCCAGTAGTCCCAGTCGCACAGCAACAACAAACTTCTACCGGCAACCCAGAAGCGCTGCCTAAGCTCGATGGAGTTTTCTCTGCACCAACTCCCCCTGAAGAAGCACCAAAGTCCCAGGCGCCAGTGGAGGCTCCAGCTAGCACATTCGAGGCTCAACCACCACATCAGCCTGCACCTACTCCTACTATCAACGGGCGATAAATGTGTATGCGTACCTCCAAACGCCGCTTTACCACATGTTGTCTTGAGGATCCATGTTTAACCATCTTCACCTTCTTGCTATCTACTTTCCTGTCATAACTAGAGAACGACAGATACCCATGGCGTTTTTCTCGATCTCTGCCCTCATTCTGTTGTGGGATAAATGCATCGTCCGTCGGCTTAGCGATGTATTACGAGGTGTGCTATTGACGAATAGATCGCCTTGCTGGCTAGAATATCTAGATGAGTCGGTGTAATCAATACGACTTACCTCGTTGAAGTGAGCATCAGTGATGGCCAGTGTCTTGTGTTGTCTGGTAATGTACGCACATCGAATGTATGTCTGTGAGAGATGACCATTGGTGATGTTGAGCTTCATTACTATATACACGCGTATGCTTGTAGCACGCTTTTCTCCAAGACGCCACCGCTCGTAACATAATACACATCTAGTCATGTCATCATAGGGATACTCATGCCTATCCTCTCGGCAAAGCGCCAGGTATAGCTCCCGCAATACCAGTCGTGGTCCGACTCTGTAATTTCGGTCGACCATGCGGTCCCTTCGGCCTATCTCGATCTCTCTGCTCACCCCGCCATCGCATACCATCTTCTCGATTATTCCTGCTCCGGCTACGAGAGTCACTTGCACTGGGTTTCCTAACCCCAGCTCTGATCTCGGCTTCCCGCATTTTCTGGCCTTCAGCTTCTATACGCTCTTCCAGAGTAGCGTTCTCAGCAATCGGACTAGGGATGAAGGATGTTGAACCTGGAGCGGTACCGTTTCCTTCCATGACGGCGATCTCATCATCCTCGTCATTTTCATTTTCTCCGGCTGCAGCGTCGGCGTCTTCGGTAGCGCTTCCGCCTCGCGTGTTGTGCTTTCGGGGCCAGAGTGAGGGGAGCACGATTTGTTGGAAGCGGGGTTCTACTGCCCGCTCATCGAACCAAGCGTGGACGCGAGATTCGATCAGCTGGGCGATTTTTGGTACGTCTTGTAGGCGGGATCTTGAACCAACTAAGGAACGGACGGAGAGGTCGAGGCGATAGTCGTCTAGGAAGGTGAACGCTAATGTTGTAGGTCGGTGTGGTGGTGCGCCAGATGATGATGCTGGACGGCTTGGAGAGGAACCTCGATGGGTCTCGGACGTTGGCGAGGTCATGGGCGCAGCGGTAGGTGGAGGTGACGAAGAGGGTATGAATGACACGGCCAGTGTCCCAGAGAATCGTACAATGCTCACAGCAAGCGCGACGGGCAAGACTGCAGACATGGGCTTCGGCCAGTTCAAGTTCAGTGTCGTCTCAACGCCAATGGTAATGACATCGCTCAAATCAACGTCCATCCGTGCCTGTAGTCTCTCTTTCTCGTTCCCTGTGTTTCCCGGCCCGTACCAAAATCCGTCTTCTGCAGGCATTACTCTGCAATTGCTGAAGATGGGGAACTCATCGCCCAACGCTATCTCCGTTACCCTGATCGAGCCAATCCAGTCTGGCTTGCTGCCCGTGTTCAAGACTTCGGTGAGCGATGTGAGGATTGCATCGTCCTGCCGCGCGTCGGCTCTCAGCTGTGCGATTGTTTGCGCAATGAGCACGTTGAACCAGTCTAAACTCTCCGGTTGGTGTCCCTTTACGTTGTAGTAGGTCTTCGCGAGAATAGTTGTGATGCTTGGTCCTCCTCTGCTCTCTTCGCCCTTTCGTATTATGCTTCTTGACGGTTTGTGGCGTAGAGACAGGGACGTTGAATTTGCGCGCGTCCTTAGTTGCTTGTACGATTGTTGGTGTGCTAGGGTTCGAGCTCGGCGGAGGGAATTGAGGTGTAACGCGCGATCGTCGGCAGATGGTGGCTCTCCAAAGATAAAGAACTTTATAAAACAAAACATCAAAATCGCGATTGAAAGCTGGCCGAGCAGAAATCCTTGCGTGAAGGAAAGTCTACAGCATGTTAGCGGGGTCCTCCATGGAGTGAAGGTGTGGTTACGAGGACGAGCTGCCCTGTGTGACCGGCAGCGCCACAGGCGTGGGCACTGCTTTGACCATGGTTGATATTGCTATCGGTGGAACAATTGCATGTTGGTTGTGGATTGAACGGGCTCGAAGAAGGCAGACAGACGTAATTGTGCATCGGAAGGACGCCCGCGCAGGGACCGAGCTCTATCGATAAGAGAGCCTCCTAATCATTCCACCAAGTCTCTCCGCAACCCCGAGGTCTCCCCAGACTCAGAGCCGCCTGAAACCTCAATTCTGCCTAGGATGCCCCTCCTTTCCAAGGTTGTCACCTTCAAAACCCCTACCAACCGCGCCGCTGCTATCAAGGCAAACAGAGTCATCCGATCCATCAAGAGCAGATACCGGGCCCAGGCCTTTCTGTTCCTCGCATACCACTTCTTCCTCACTTCGCCTATGCACCTTGATATCTTTATCATGTTCTTCATTCTGGTCAGCAACTTCATGAACCGACAACAGGCGTTCCCAGCCCACCTGGTTATCGAGGGACTACGCTTCCTCATCGACGAGAGAAGGTTCATCATGCCTTGAATGCTAAGTCCAGCTACGATGGTCATCCGACATGTTTATTCCGACGCGACACGGTACATTATGCGCATCAATCGCACAACGAACCCCGTCCCTCCACGCGTCCTCGTTGCTCCTTCACTTGAAGCACACGGAGATAGCGGCAGTTGCAAGTCCGATTGGCTGCCAAGCTCCCCACCTTCTGCACCAGCTCGACATCGCATATCATTGTAGAGATTCCTCAACGTCGCTATGGATTTCGATACCCAAAGTCAAAGCCTTTCGCCGGGCGCGGCCACTCACAATCCCAATCTCATCCTGCCAGCAACATGCGACCCACCATCTGAGCACAATCCACCCAAACGAGCAGTATGGATTGTAAGTCACTGAATAGGCTACCTGGTCATCGGTAGCTAACTCCTGAATGTAGGTCTTCGGGGCGACCGGTCATATGGGGCGTTCCCTCGTTCGAGCGATATTAGCACATGGCGACCAATGCACTGCAGTGGGATGGACCGAGGAGAACACATCAGAACAGATGGACAAATGGCAGAACAGGAACTGCCTGGGCCTGTTGTGTGACGTAAGAGTGCGCGAGACAGTAGACCAGGTCATTAAGAAGAGCATCGAATACTGGGGTCAGGTGGATGTCATAGCGAATAGCACCGGCTACGGCGTCATAGCAGCATGCGAGGACCAGGACGACTACGACCTGCGCAATCAATTCACAACAAACTTCCTCGGAACACTTCATATCTTGCAGTTGTCCCTCCCATACTTCCGCTCCCAGAACTCTGGTCGATACCTCATATTCTCGTCCACGGCTGGTGCACTTGGCGTGCCGGGACTCGGCCCGTATTGTGCGACCAAGTACGCTGTTGAGGGTCTGATAGAGTCCATGTTATACGAGGTCGATATCTTCAACATCAAAGCAACATTGGTCGAGCCCGGTCATGTTCGATTGGACGAACCAGACGATAACATATTACCACCCAGCTATACTTCGGCGCCTACTCCTGGAACAGGACCTCCGAAGCCGAAGCGTTATGGCCACTTCTTCGTGAAGCCGAATCCTAGCGAACCCTATGCGGGGCTAACAAGTCCCGCGCAACACGCGCGACGGATGGTACAATGGCTGAACGACAGACAACCAGTCAGCGCTGTAAAGAGTGCAGAGTTGGTATGGCAATTAGGTCATTGTAGTTATCCTCCGCTACGATTGATCTTGGGTAGTTATGCTGTGGAGAGCATCCGTGACCGCCTGAAGAGCATCACCGAGGAGGTGTGTAATATCTTTCTCTTGCTGCATTAGAGTTATTAACTTTTCGCAGATCGAAGATTGGAAACATCTTTCGTTCCCTACGTTTATGCCTCCAGAGGAAGAAGGTGGGAAAGATGATGTCAAGGAGGAACAAGAGCTAGACGACGAACAGATGCAGGACTGAAGGCAAACTTCCGGCATTGGCACTACCAACCCCGCATGCCCCGATGCATGCATCCGCTCCTGCAACTATCGTACAGCCCAAACATTGCCGCTCAAATATATGCAAAAACGGCAAACTGGGACGCAAAGCGTTCTTGAGATCTTAATGTGACAGCGCATCGTTTGCGTTTCCGGCAATGGAAGGTTCGGGGGGCCGAATCCTTCTTTGAGGTTTCGCGAAAACACCTTCTTTAAAGACCTTATGCGAATTCTATTCTTGGAACTTACACTTGAAGGAACCAGGCTAGTGTTGTACCGCTCTACCATCCGAGCTGATATGCCAACAGTATGTGCATTAACCAAGACTTCTGTGGCTGCTGGGTATCACCGACCATCTTTACTACCGACTACTTTAACCCTGTTTCGGCTATCCTTTACCGTGGTCTTATAGAACACAAATTTAGAGGATGTAGGGAGGGGAAAGAGCTAGAACATTGCCTCTGAATGTAATTGCCTGTTAGGAATTGACTCGTTCTTTCCAGCTTAACGCGGAGGGCGTAGCTCAAAGACCGTCCGATCTTATTCTCTCCGCGATTGGACAATCTCGCTTCGTGCATTTGTGATGGTTGAAAAGGGTAAGGCGTGTGTTGGCAAGCCTACTGCGGCTGACATCCGCGTCCCTTACGCACTCACAACCAATCGTCAACTACGCCAGCATGCACGTCTCTAAGCCTTTGTGGGTTTCCTGGTGAGCTTCAGCCCCCACAAACGACTAAGATGCAACATGAACATTGGGCTGGCTGACGGCAAGGCCTGTGCTGATATACCGGCATCCCGTGCCACATCGTTTTATATGTACTACGACTGCCAGGAGCACACGACGCGAATTTGTTTGCTTCTCCCTTTGTTACACGAAGTCTTCCTATCATCTACTTGTCGTTTCTCTAGCTTCAGTTGTCACTGGGCTTCGTTTCTTCTATTCACCTGTGGTCTTGCTGCCACACGCTAGATCGCGCAATGGACAATGAGATACGCCAAGTCCCGCAGTCGCCAGTGTTGGTCAACAATGATTCTGGACACAATAGGGATAGCTGGAAGACTGCTCCCAGCTCACCAAAGGAAGACTTCAAAGTCATGATTGATGCTATTACCGAGGAACGCGAAAATTCCACCAGCTACACAGGTAGCTCTAGCGAATCTCCAAACACGTCTCGACAAGATTATAGCGAGAAGTTCGATCATGTCGAACACAATTCAGATATAGACGGTATTGACTGGAGACCTGGCTTCAAGCATCAATTTCCATGGCTCGGCTTCGCGGGGCTTATGGTCATCCTTGTGGCCACTGCCGGAGCTGTAATCATACTGGCTACGTCTAACGAAAAGCGAGTCAAAGACTGGCCTTTTACGAAGTTAGTCAAATTAGCTGATCAGACATGAAACGGAGACTGACAGACTAGATTTACCGCCCAACCCAACGTACTACTCAACATTGCGAACCAAGTTCAGAACCTGGGGCTGGTTACATTGATTGGTCAGGGGCTGGCTATCGCATGGTGGAGGACAGCCTTGCGCGGAAGCTCACTCCGGAAACTACATCAGAATCACGCGTATTCTTACAGCTTCTATGCGATTATCACTTCCGGCAGACACTTCAACATTATCGCTCTCGCCGCTCTTATGACGAAGTTTGCCGTTATCGACAGTACACTATTTCAAAAAGCGACAAAAACTATCGTCACCCAGGAAAGTGACTACATGAACCACACTATGACTGGCTTCATCGAGAAAGACTGGCCAGCGAATTCTGGTGGTATACCCGGAGGGGACGGCAATATCAAGACCGTCGATAAGGCTTGGGCTAACGTACTGGATGCGTACAACGGAAAGATCGCAAATGGTAAGGTGCATGACACTCTTGACCAAACAAAGTCTTTTTGGGACTGCCCTTTTCGACAAGAGTGTCATGGCGCTATTGAGGGCTTAGGCTTCTCATTCAACTGCACTAGTACATCCAGGCAGGTAGACTATGGCTATGAAAGACGAGAATCAGATCTACAGGGCATACCTCCATCGGACAACTCGTATGCGCTGTGGGATGTCAAGTTCAATGCCTCGTGGCCAACGGGAACCAAACCATACGCCAGCATCGATCTCGAGATGCTGTACGTCGATAGTAAAGCTGGGGAAGACGAGCACTCTTGTCCGGGTACTATGACTATCCGTAGGTGCGAGATCAAGCCCGCCCTCGTTCAGTATCCCGTTACTGTTATGGTACCAAGCGAAGAAGAACTAAAAGGCAAAAACATTGTCACACACATCAAGTTCTCTAATGATTCTCGCCCCGACAACTGGGAGGTTGGTGAGAGTCTCGACAATATTACGCAGATCGACCAACTTGAAGTGAAAGAGACTATCAATCTCGAAGAGCAGTTCGGTAAACCCTCTACTATCGGCGCTTTAACATACATCATGAACAACCTCTATGCATCCTCAGCGAATCTTACCTACAACAACGACACATGGGATATTGTCGCTCGAGGCGCCTCGGCTCAGACTACCTTTTATGCCCAATCTGATGAAACGCTCAATCGTTGCTGGTATAATATTAGCCAAGGTAAAGACGATCCCGCCGTCGAGGTGTTGCGCAAACTCAACACCCTGAGCTTCGTGACAGCGTTGTACATTACAGGCGCGCCTTTTTCCAGCAAAAGCCTAGACGGCGACCTCGGGATGGCCAACCAAACAATCATCGCATCAGTCACCGGTATCGTTGAGCAATACAAAACCTCCTATGCCTACGTCGCCGGCGCCCTCGTAGCAACTTTCGTCACCGTTATGCTCGTCCTACCCGTATATTGGGGCTTCTGGCAGCTCGGCCGCAAGGTCACTCTTGGTCCGCTTGAAATATCACAAGCCTTCGGTGCGCCCATCATCGCCCCTGACCAAACAAAGGCATATCATGGCGACTTCGATCAGGTACTTGAGGATGTCGGGAAGAGGAGAGTGCAGTACGGCCAACTCAAACATGCGCCGCCGGGACAGATGGGCCTTGCAGAGCCAGAGAGGGTCGTGGTGCCGAAAGCGAGTCACCGATGGCGAGTGAGTGGGCAGAGGGAGAATAGGAGGATCGGACTTGGTGCTGCTATCGGGGGTGTGGTGGCTGCTACTATCGCAGGAAATGCGAAGGGATGAGGGGCAATCTTGCTAGGTGTTGGATGTGCTGTAGGTGATAGGCCTACCATACCAGCGACCAAGGCCATTCAATCAACTCATTTACTAAAGCACAAACTGACGACCATTACTGTACAAACTAGGCCTCCAGTAGACCTAAAGACACATATTCCATCTCTATGGCGTGCGAAACAGCGTCCATGTGTAGGCAATAGTTTTTGTAATTGGAGCTAAAGCGAGCGCTACGTATTCAAACTTTTGAGCATAGGCAGATGTAGTTTTTACAGAGGAATTAAAGCCGGATGGCACTGTAAGAACAAAAAACTAAAGCCGCTGTGCATGTTTTGTTAGATAATGTCTACCACGTCTAGCAAGCCGCTGCTGGTGCGGAGATAACCGGCGCTAGTGCCGCTTGCCAGCCACCGCAACATCGTCACGTACGCTTCCAATCACCCCTTAAAAACACATCTCTGTTCACCACAACCACCACACAACGTCCATGAAGACAAAAAGAAAGTTGCTCGTTGCATCGGCCGGGAATCGAACCCGGGGCTAGCCGAAACTGTCCTGTAAAGGATGGCAACGGCTAATTTTACCACTAAACCACCGATGCGAGGTTTGAAGCAGCTGAGAAAGCTGATTTGATGGAAGAAAGTGAAGAAACAAGCATCATAACAGTATAAACAGTCTACGAGATCCAGAAACTGGTGTATGCCTCTAACTTCGTCTGTGCGTCTTCGGTCTGGCTAGGGAATAGTGTCATGCACGAGTCGAGAGCCGTAGCACTAACGAAAACTGTCTGAAATGATCGTTAATCTCCACTACCGGCGCCTAGACGGTTTGCTGATGCATGTTCTCACCCAGGCATCAATATTGCTATTCAAGGAAAGCCTAGCGAATACTGCACCACTGTGATTTCGTCCGCAGGGCAATAAATGCCGGAAGAATATTGGCTAGTGTATCGTACAATATGTTGATGTTGAAGCAGTTTTACTGTACAGCATGACACCGAATGTACGGCTAAGAAATCTTCCTAGTCCTGCGGAATACCTCCAGGGCTCTCTTCATAGCGACCTCGGGATCGTCCTGATGTACAACTCGAGACCCATAGACAATGTACGACAAGCGTACACAGACCCGGCCGATTCAGTACAAGCCTACATAGTCTTCACACTACCATGCCAAGCCGGTACATTGTTTCTGTCACTGTTGTATAGATGTCTTCCGAGATCGCACGCCTTTCGTGATTGAATCTTGGTATCATGGACCTCCTTGTATGCTCTAGATCACTCATTTACATGATACGACTATGAATCTGCTGCAAAGATTGGCAAGACCCATCGCCCAGCTTGTTGTGGCAGCGCAAGGGCAATGTTCCGCTTAAGAGAATATCGCGTCTCTTCCCAAGCCAGTCGAGTAACCCGACCCACAGCGGACACAATTCCGCTGAGCGGTTTGCTCTTTTCACACGCAACGTTCCGCGAGAAACACAACAACAGCGCATGATTTCCTGTCCATACCCATGAGTCACAGGATTTGGGATAGATAACACATCTGTTTTCGTGTATTGCTTGACAGGGCGTGCAGGACTCGATCACCATTATGTCGCACTAACCAGAAGTGGTAGGTACATGCGATATTCCGCCAGAGAGCATGACGGCGGTACAGCTTTACGTGTTTGGACTTATCGCCACGCTCTATCATCCAATGTCCCCGCTTCTACGCTTTGGGACACGGGCTCGGCATCATGTATATGCCTGTAGATAAATTGGGTGGTATCCCATCAGACTTGATGACCTCTCATCTACACTTCACTACTCTAGGGTGAGCATAGGATCACATCATCATTCTTTATTCAAGTTATACGTCTTACCATGGCACCTCACCCCTTCAAGATCCTCAACGTAGAGGAGACGCGTATCGCGCGTGACACTGTCCTCTCCCTCCACAAAGACTGCGTTGTCGACTTTCGAGAGATCTACCTCCAAGAACCCGAGAAGGAGCTCATGAAACAATATCTCGACCTAGAATATGCAGCAAAGCCAGGGCAATCACCAGCTTCCAAGCGACCAGCGCGGTTGGCGAAGTGTCAATACGATGTCATCGGAACCGACAAGATACCAGAGTACCACGAGTCTGTCATTGATATTGAACAAAAGAAGAGGGTACGCCATGAGATTGTTGGAAAGGAGAAGCAGGCCAGCTTGACCCTGTGGGAGTTCCAACACCTGGTCAAGGCTTGTGAGGAGAGCGACATGTTCAAGGATGCCATGAAGGAGCTCAAGCTACCTGATGGGTTTGAGTTGGTTGTTGAGCCCTGGTAGGTACCTACTTCTCAATTGTCGATGTATACTAATAACAACACAAGGCCATACGGTGGTCTTGACATTGGTGCCGAGAACCGAAGATACTTCCAAGGATTATGCTTTGCACAGGACACACGAAATGGAAACGACGATTCCAACTTCTACGCCTACCCCTTACCACTAATTCCTGTCATGGACGCGCAAACGAGGAAGATCATTCGCGTTGACCGCTTAGCCACAGGTGGAAAGGGCGATAGCCTTACCGGTCAAACACATTCTGAGCGCGTTCTAGACCATTGCGAGGGTGCGGAGTACGTCCCCGAGATGGTCGAAGGTGGTCTTCGACAGGACGTGAAGCCTATCAACATTACACAACCAGAGGGTCCTTCCTTCAAGGTTACAGACGAATCGCTAGTCGAGTGGCAGAAGTGGAGCTTCAGAGTATCATTCAACCCGCGTGAAGGGGCTGTTCTACACGACGTCAAGTATGACGGTAGAAGCATCATGTACCGGATGAGCATTTCTGAAATGTCAGTTCCGTACGCAGATGCACGACCACCCTTCCACCGCAAGCAAGCATTCGACTTTGGTGACGGAGGTGCTGGTAACTGTGCCAACAACCTTTCCCTAGGTTGCGACTGTCTCGGCGTGATCAAATACTTTGATGCGGTCATCGTTGGTTCCGATGGCGAACCAAAGGTCCATCCCAATGTGGTCTGTCTTCACGAGCAAGACAATGGCATTGGCTGGAAGCACAGTGAGTTCCCCGAAACAGTTTCTCAGCACGAGCTAACGTGGGAAATTAGCCAACTGGAGAACTGGACGCGCAGTAGTAACACGACTACGAGAACTCGTCGTTCAGTTCATTATCACCCTAGCTAACTATGAGTATGTGTTTGCCTACAAGCTCGACACCGCTGGTGGTATCACTCTTGAAGTCCGAGCCACTGGTATCGTCTCAGTCGTCAACATCGACCCAGGCAAGACATCAGACTACGGCAATGTCGTATCAGGAGGTGTGCTTGCCCAAAACCACCAGCACATCTTTGCCGCTCGTTTTGACCCAGCAATCGACGGACACAACAATACCGTCCTCTATGAAGAATCCCACACCGCTCCCTGGAACAAGGAAACCAACCCCAATGGCAATTTCTACGAAATCCGCAAGACAACCATCGACAAGTCCTCTGGTGTTGATGCCAATCCCTTCGACCACCGCGTCTTCAAGATCATCAACCCATCCAAGAAAAATCCAAAGTCTGGTAACCCTGTAGGATACAAATTCGCACCGCTCCCTACGCAGAAGATACTTGCTAGCCAAGGTAGCATCCAAGCGCAACGAGCGCTCTTCACAAACCACCACGTGTGGGTGACAAAGTACCAGGATGACGAGCTATACGCTGCGGGTAGGTTCACGCTACAGAGCCAGCTCGAGCAAGGTGGTGTGCATGACATGGCTGCACGAAAGGATAATGTCGAGAATGAAGATCTTGTTCTCTGGAACGTGTTCGGACTGACACATAACCCACGGTAAGATTCATCGCCTTTGATTAAAGTCGGCGCATATACTAACGACAAGCAGAGTCGAAGACTGGCCCGTTATGCCTGTCGAGATTTACCAAGTGCATTTCAAGCCCAGCGACTTCTTCGAGCGCAACCCGGCTATCGACGTACCAAGCACGAAGAACAATGCGTCGGTTTTGGTTGAAAAGGAATGTTGCTCTGGAGAGCAGAAGCTTTAAGTACTGTTGAAATGAGTCGTTATTAGTTCAAGGATACCCAATGAGTTCCCACGTATGCCGCTCGGTCTGTCATATTGCAAAAGTGATGTCGAGGTTTTGTACACATAGTGGTACTGTGGTGGGTAGTAGTTGATGCTATACGATACTCTATGTATGCGTTCTACATTCCAAAGACTGAAACCAATCTGATAGTCATCCAATCGTCAAACAGTGGTATACCAAACGCCAATATACGCCAAAGTCATGCCCGTACACGAATATTTACATTCCCCAAGCGCCAGTGACGGCATTCAAAGCACCATCGACGGCCTCCTCTAAGGTTTCAACACGCAGTCTGAGCGTGCGGTTCTCCTCTCGCTCCTTCGCTAGGCGGCCCCAAACAGCAGATTGTGCGCCGCCCTGGCAGTTGGCGCATCCCCATCCACCTTTAGCGATGTCGACTTTGCCTTCTCGGGGCTTGTCGTATGTGCTTCCCCGTTGTAGCGATTGAGGCTTTCGGCCCTTCGGTGTGATGTCGTGAATATCGTTGTCGAGAATGGATGAGCGGTCGGTACCGGTAGGGCTGAGGCAGCTTCTTGAGAATACGCTCGCAGCGTCGGTCTCATTCTCAGACTCGAAACCAGAATCGACGCTGATTTCTGAGCCTGACACACGGTTGTGTCGACGGGCGGACTCCTGGCACGAAGTGTGCTCACACTGTGGTGTTGCTCTAATGAGGGCCAGACTCCTCTTACGAGCAGCCTCTTCTTCTTGACGAGCTTTCTTCTCAAACGCGAGGTCTTCCATGAGGACGCGCATTTGCTCGTCCTGCTCGGCTGCTCGTGCTGCCATTGTCTCCAGTTGCATCTTCAGGTGCCTTGCCCGTGTCTCGGCTTCATCAAGCTCATCGTCCTGCGCGCTTTGTTCGGCATGTGCGTCTCCCAGGGCAGTAGAGAGTTGGCGGTAGGCGGTCTGGTAGCGAGAGAGGAGGGCTTCGGCGTTGGTAAGAAGGTCGTGGAAGGACGAAGGTGCTAGCGGATCGGCGGGTCCGTGTGGGAAAAGCGAGTGTGATATGTTCAAATTGAGTAACTCGTCGTCAGGGTTGTGGTATGTGGGCGACTGCTGTGGAGGGGGGACGGCGGCATTCTTTTGTGTGGACAACAGCCATGCGAACTTGCTGCTAGCGGTGGGCTGGCTCGGTGCCTTGCTCGGTGTGTGGGTATCATCTGATCGCATCGGGCTCTGCGACGTGCCCCTCGTGAGGGAAGAGCCACGGTTGAAGAGGTTGGTCATCATGTTGCCCCTCTCCTCTTCCTCCTCTTCGGACTCGGAATCGTAACTCTCTCCTGACTCGGAGCCGGAATCCGAATAGTCGTCCTGTTGCTGGACACCTAGCTTCACGGGCGCAGAGGAGCCGTTGAACCAGTTCTGTAGCGCCCTAATCTTAGGCTGGCTAGCGCTGGATTCGATAGCGCCTCTTGAGGGAATGAAGCTTGCCAGAGATTTTGTAGGTGAAGATGCTCTTGAAGTATGCTGTTGGATTGTCGATGTTGCGCGATTGAAGTTGTCGAAGATTGTACCGGTCAAGGTGCGCTGGTGACTACTTCGGCCAGTCCTAGGGAAGTCCTCTAGTGGGGAAGGTGCATGTGGGTCATATGCAGTTGCAGTAGTGGGTGTTAAAGCGGAAGGTGGTGGTTGAAGTCCGGTGATGTCCACGTCGTCGAATTTGTTCACCTGTTCGCTGACCACAGACGCAGACTGCTTGCGAGTGTGATACGATGGGGATCTCACGCCAGTATGCTGCGAGGTATGGGTCGCATAAGGGGCCTGAGGTGGCTGTTGCAGCTCCAAGTCGTGAGGGGCGTTGCGGCTCATTCCAAACTACTGCAGCTAAACGTCCGGTGCCGGGATTGCTAGACGGTACGCTGTTTGGCGGTCGAGGACTGTGTCAGTCGCCCAACGATTTGTCGAGCAGACGGATGGAGATGTGTGAAACGCGAAAGCACTTCTTTCCTTGCTGCTCGGCGGGGCGGGTGCTGAGGGTAACCCGGCCAACACGATGAATTTATCGATAAGAGCGAGGAGCGAGAGTCGTGGGAAGGTAAAGCGGCGGTCAACGAGTGTCTGGTGGTAGAATGTGTAAGATGTGCAGTACGGCAGTTGACTGCAATCGTGGTGTACCAAAAGGCAAAAAGAGGGTTCAATGTTTCGTCGAGCAAAGGGCGAGGTTTTGTCCTCGATGGCTGTTTCGTGTGGTTGGCAGGAAACAGCGTGGCAGGGAATCTGGATTTTGTGAGGCTGGGAGGGCTAGCGGCCCCGTCATGTACGCAACGCACACCGCAACACGTAGCCGTCGTCGCTTAGAGAACCCAATAGCCCCTTGCGAATTGCCTTGGTCTAATGCAAGACAAGCTGTAAGATGCACTCGACCCTGCTTTCCATCCGTTCTGTTTGCGTTCGCGTTTCAAAACATCTCATCGTGCAACTTTAGCGCACGGCTAGTACGCGTTACAACCAGCAGGGAAGACCTCTCCAGGCAAGCTCTCTCAACAACAAAAGCCTCAGAGACTGCGACACTAGTTGCGCGTCTCTTGTAATTATGGGATCATAGACCTGTCTCCTCAATCAGTGGGTTACCTACACTCGCCCACTGCACTACCCCACAAAAGTTCACACCGAATAATGGCGTACCCTGAAAAAGTTCACCGCATTTTCTTGCGCCTACACCTCCATTACAGTTACTCTACTTCTGCATGAGCAGGTGAGCATCTTCCGATGTGCCCCAACGCTCAGTCCCATCTTCGGGCAATACCACCCACGGCGCCTTCTCCCTCAAAAAGATATGCTTCACAACCTTGGGTGCCACCTCAGTCTTGAGACTCTCCAGATCGACTGTGGCCATGCACAGCCCCATGCCGTCGGGATCAGATGTGTAGACCATGGATATCGGGGCACCGCAACCCGAGCAGAAGGTTCGTTCTGCAACGTCCGATAGTCTTAGAACCTGGCGCGTGTTCGAATGCGTGAAGGAAAGACTGCCTCGGGGTACATGCGTGAATGGAAGGAAGCCAGAGCCTGATACTTGCTGGCATGCGCGGCAATGACACAGCGTGATATCTGAGGGTGGAGCACTCGATGTGTATTGCACCCCACCGCAGCGGCATCCGCCCTTGAAAACCACATCGTCCTGAATGACTTGCGGCACGTATCTCGAACCGTCTGCAGCTACATAACACGTCAGCTTTATGTCAATATACCACTATGGCTTACTCACGTCTTCTTGCAATACCGAGGAAAACAGAGTCGATCTCCTCAATCTTGCCATCTATCGCCAGCTTTTCCCACTCCTCTTTGTAAATGCCTTGCGCTTTCCTTCGGATGTCGTTGTTCGCAAACGTTCTCGCAATGTCCTTGACAATCACATTTTCGACGAAGAAGTCGTCCCATTGCTCCATATCGTAAAAACGTCTGCCATATCCAGCTTGGCTCTCGACAGTAAGAACTTGGTCTATCTCCAGGCCCGCGGACTCCAGCATCTGCTTCAAGGTATCTTCTGATTTGCTCCATGATCGATTGTATGGAATTGGAAGCTCCAATCTGCGAGCTACCCTCTCGAGAACCATACCGGAGACCAAGTTCCTTGGATGTGTTGCGTCCATTGCAATGACCCCTCCAGGCTTGAGGAATTCTGTCCAGTGCTCGATGGCAGTCTTTGGGTTGGGGAACAAGACAAGGGCAGAAGCCACTGTTATGACGTCAAACTGCTTTCCCCTGAGCTCTTCTGTTTCGTCCAGATGTAAAGCATCGCCCTTGAGGAAAGTCGTATTGGCATATTTGTCGCCTCCTTGAGTCTTTCTGTGAGTAGCGACTGCAAGCATACCAGGGGTGACATCAACTCCGACAACATGTCCTTGCGGCCCTACAGCCTCTGACTCACGGAAAGTCAACAATCCTGTGCCACACGCCAAATCCAGTACTTGTTGGCCTGGTTGTATGTCGAGATAGGAAATGAATCGCCTTGTGAAGTCGTTGTGCCAGGTAGCATCGTAATCCCAGGACTTCGAGTCATAGAATCGGATAGCATCCGCCGCTTGTCTTTCGCTTGACATTCTGAGTGATTTGGAACTATCGGTCGTTGTGAAATCGGAAGGTCGCTTCATAAGTGTTGGTTTGGTTCAGTACATGGATAGGGCGTAGAGGAGAGTGACCAATGAGTGGCGGCTTGGTCAGCTTGACTTGCTTTAGATGTAGCCAGTTAAACTTTAGAACGTGCTTCCTTCTCTTCTTATCGACGATGATGCAAACTTGACGACAGCAAAACTCTGAATGCTATCGCGCAAATTCGTATTTATAGCTTTCCTCAAGATTTCGCGAGCCTTGCTGAAACTCCCGTGATGAGGGGTGCCGAAGCTGTGAAGCACTAGCGCTGCGGCTGGTAAGCGCGAGCGACTCAGGACTCCATCCAAACTCCAAGGTGCAACTCCTCCTTCCTCTTCTCCAACGTTACACATGACTCGGGTCTCCGTTATGACTATCTTGGTGCGCGTCTTTGTGTGAAGTTATTCTCAACGACAAGCCACGCTAGACTTGTCTGTAGCCTGGAAACGAAACTCGCCGCAACTCACACGGACCGTGTAGCTTTTCAAGCTCACCGTTATCGACTGTTGTTAATTTCATGACGCTGCGGTTCACCCATCCAGGAGCTATTTTGGAGCATGAACTGTGCAACTTCACATCCAGCGTTCTGATATCCTAAGCGCATGCAGTCCAAGCACTATGCTGCAAACCTCAAACCAGACATAGAGTGCGACACTAACCCTTGCATATCACCATATCCCGAGTGGATGCTGCAAAACCAATTCATGTCCCTACCATGACATAGCGTTCTCGGTAATGGAACAAATGCGACCGAACTACCAACTCGTTGCGTACGAGGAAATCCCCGAACAACGGATAGACGAGACAAGTAACAACAAGCTTCTGCGCAGGACATATCAAGGCTACATGGAGCTGGAAGGATGTCGATCATCTAATACCGGGTGAACTTGCGTGGTGACGAACAGGCTAAACGGCACTTCAACAAGCGCCCCACTGCACCCCGCAACGTGGGGAAGCGTGGAGAGCCGCCATCGTGGTATTAATATCCATTAGACGGTGAACCAGGGTTTCTAGAGTGCGTATATCTTGCTATGCCCAATCGATCGCCATGTTCTGACGAGATCCATTTGGAAGTTCTGGAAGAGCATTCGCTACACTGCGCCATGCCAATACCAGTCTACAATACCCGGATCTGAACATAGACTAAGTGGTCACGTCTTGTTTTGGGGAACACGGCGGGCCAAGGGCGCTATAGTGCGATGTGGTTTCCTCACGGCTCAAGGGAGCTTTTGCACTCCAATCGACGGTATTGACTGTACAAATCACGAACAAATTTTCCATCAATGAACTGTCAACGCAGGGTAAGCTTGTACTCTGTGATGATAGCAGTACCGTAGATGTCTAGGTAGGTTACCTGGAAAACATCAAAGGTCCAACACTTCTCATGTTGGACTAAGTCGATAATAGGAAAACAAAAGCATGTCAGCTTTTGTGAGTTGTGAACGTAGGATACTAGCATGTAAAGTCAAATGATGGTTACCGAATATGGTGATCATGAGTCTATGCCATTCTGTTGTGACGGCTCTTGCTCCACAAGTGCGTGGCGAAAGTAGAGGAGACCAGCATGAGCCAAGGCGTTATGCCCTGATTGCCCCATAGTCACGCTACGAAACACACTTTGTCATCTCCACGGGTTCATTTAGTGGCTATATTTCGCCGTGAGAATGCGGAATGCTTGCGGAGGCCACGATCACTATATAAGAGTTAGGAGTACCTCAGCAATCACCATCCTACAGTGTCTCGAGTACCAAGGTCCGCCCAACATGAAATACTCACTTGTACTTCCGCTCCTTGCTACGACCGTCCTTGCGGCGCCAGCCATCGAACAGCGCCAGGACGCCACATGCAATGTTCCAACTACCTTCCCTACTACTGCCAACGCCAAGTTGCCAAACCCCTTCAAGTTCTTTGACGGAAGGGCTGTTGCCACCAAAGCCGACTTCGCATGCAAGAACAAGGAGGTTAGCGCTGCTATACAGGCACAGGAACTTGGTGACTTCCCCAAGAAGCCATCAAGCGTTACTGCTACCTTCTCTGGATCCTCGCTCTCAATTACCTCGACTGAGGGCGGAAAGTCGGTTACTTTCTCGGTCTCTATCAAGAAGCCTAGCGGGACTGGACCTTTCCCAGCCATAATTGCATACGGCGCTGCCAGTCTCCCTGTTCCCAGCAACGTTGCGACAATCACCTTTAACAACGATGAAATCGGCCAGCAACAGGGTGGTAGCAGCCGTGGAAAGGGCAAATTCTTTGACTTGTACGGCTCCAGCCACAGTGCTGGTGCTCTCACTGCTTGGGCATGGGGTGTTGACCGCATTATGGATGCTCTCGAGGCTACTCCTGGTGCTGGTATCGACCCGAAGCGCGTTGGTGTGACTGGTTGCTCTCGCAACGGCAAGGGTGCTTTTGTCGCCGCTGCGCTTGTCGACCGCATTGCTCTGGGTCTTCCTCAGGAGTCTGGTTCTGGTGGTGCCGCCTGCTGGCGCATCTCCGACTCTGAGAAAGCCAAGGGAAAGAACATCCAAACCTCTAGCCAAATCGTTGGCGAAAATGTATGGTTCTCCACAAGGTTTAACTCCTTCAGCACCAAGTCCAACACCCTGGCCACCGACCACCATCAGCTCGCCGGTATGGTTGCTCCACGTGGTCTGCTCGTCATTGAGAACGAGATTGACTGGCTTGGCCCTGTATCCACGACCGCTTGTATGAAGGCCGGTCGCCTCATCTACAAGGCCCTTGGTGTACCAGATAACATGGGCTTTACAGGCTCCGGCAACCACAACCATTGCCAGTTTCCATCCAACCAGCAGGCTGACCTTACTGCGTTCATCAACAAATTCTTGCTCGGCCAGAGCTCAAACACTGCCAACATTGAGAAGGGCCCATCAGGCGCTGATGCGGCGACATACATTGACTGGACTGCCCCCACGCTTACTTAGGCTTAGTACCTTACGGTACGAACCTAGGGAATGAGTGATACGGAGTTGGGTTTGGACATGTACATAGTTAGCAACGCGTTCGTAGCTAAATGATTATTTGCCAGAATTATGATCCTGTGGACATGAACCCTGGCTATCTATCTGGTACCGAGGGGCCAACTTTACAAAGGTTGAGACAGATGAACGTGCGAGTAAAGTGTGACGTTTCGCCAGACAAGATTCAGTGAACACTCAAGTGA